GGTCAGCAATATGCGTTTGTTACGAATTCAGCGACGATCTGGAGCGTTACGGGGTACACTGACCCTCGAAGCAAAATCCATCAGGAATAATGGGTGGTCAGAGGCGTCTACATCCATGTCTAGGTAAAAGAAACAATTGTTGTAAGTAAGGCAAACACTAATATCTTACCTGCCTACTCAAAGTATGAGGCGGGAAATGCTTGATCTTAAAGTCGTATGGCTCCCCGGAATAGGCGCTACTTAACGCTCTTTGTAGACTTAACTTGAATTAAAAATTATCAAAAAAGGGTATTGTTTACTTAACAAAATTTTAAGGGAGCAAAATAATGCAGTAAAAATCAATTCATTCCGGACTTTGTTTAATTTGACATTTGACCCACTCAATTTGAAGTAGTCCTCTCGGCGAGATGGATACTAGTGACTGTTTTGCGCATACGCTAGAACCCTACTATTTTGCATCTTACGAGGAACTAAAGAATAAAATGAAGGAATTTGAAGTGGTTCGTCGTATTTTAATCTAGTTTCCAGGCCTGTGGTGTACAATATACCATTAAGAGAAGTATTCGTTTGGCTGATGATGTAGCTAATCGGAATATATTCGTGTACAAATACATTCAATATGTATGTGGCTGTCAAAAGTATGTTATTTCTATATTTCATTTCTTGAGATCTGATGATTGTCCGTCTTTCATAAATATATGTCACAGTTATGGTACTCTTCGTATTGCTCGCTATTATATGCTCCATACTCATGTTGGCGCAGACGGGCTTGTAAATTATGGAAAAGCTGATGCGCTCCAATCGAACCCACTAGTTAATGAGGTTCCCGAAGTTGATACTGGTAGCTGTCCATTATTTTACTTTGCAAAATAAATGTAGATGGAGACATGACTACGGATCAAACCGTAGTTTTTCAAGAACATGTGCCTCTCAGGACGTTTTCATCGTTCGAGGAATTAGAAAGGCTTCTGGTATCATTTCAGCAGGTTTTATTGTAGCTCAAGTCTTGCATTCTTCTAGGCTACCGGATGCTTGCTGGTCAAGCGTAACTCAATACGTTATCCTGACAGTGCACCTGAACATGAAACCTTGGTGTACAAGTCCATCACTTATGCTTGTTGTCATTATGGGAACGGTCGGAGTCTTTCCATCAAAACCCAACAGCAGAAGTAGGCACCTTCATTTCTTGCAGTTTTTTCTCCTAAAAGAACTAGAAAAATCAATTGCCCATGTATCGTGAGAATCGGATGTAGGGGAAAAAAGCTACACATAATTGGCTTCGTGATGCGTCACAATCATCCTGTTACAACAGAGCTTGCTGAAACCTACCCAGAAAACCGTCGTTTAACTGAAGACGAGAAGCTTGAGATAAACGATTTCCTACAGTCGGCACCCGACAATCTAACCGTGAAGGAACACATTGAACGTAAGTTTGGGAAACCCTGTACGCTGAACGATGTACGACAAATGAAGTATCGTTTGCGGAAGCTCCAAAAATCCGACGGCGCCAGTCATGGGCAAGCTAGGGTGGTGTCCTCACGGCACCAAAATCCTACCGAGGCCGATTTTGACTTTGATCCAATTCCTCCTGTTTCTGATTGGGTAGTTCACCCAAAAGGCGACTACCGACTGTCCCAATTTGAACCTCTTTCAAATCAACTGGCAGATCTCGTATGCTCTGCGGACCAGGAGACATTTTGTGATCGTATAGCCTTCCTTAAAGAGCTAACAGAAGCTTGGCGTGGGGGAAAGCAACCAATGCTGGCCTACAGTGAGTCCATGATCAAGGGCGATTCCTGCGAGAGTCCAATCAACACAGAAGTGGTGACCTCCGAAAACCCGTTTCCTTACTCGAAACTAGGTAAAACGTACCTGCCCTTCAACTATTAGTTGATGTTGTGGTGTTTACATCGCCTATGCGCTCTGTGCATGTATATAACTGCAACCCCGTTCCGAGGCGACGGAGGTTTTGCATAGTTGCATTTTTGTGTGTGTTCAGTGTGACACACCTCTGTACAAATTGCTTGAGTAGTGTAATATGTTTAACCTGTCCACTTTTTTCATGGCTGTTATGGAACTGTGTGTTGGTCATGATTTGTCATGGGGCTAAAGGACCTAAATGGAAATCATGAGGTCCTTTTGCAGTGTCTGCTTTGCAGCATTCATTTTCAGTCCGCTGCGTTTGATCATTCGATGTTGGTGCTCTTCTTCGGTTTGATTAAAACTGCGCACCAGTGGTAATCACAACGCTTATATTTTTCTGGAGCTAGGTTCTGTTTGTTTAGTATGACTAAGGCACTGTCGGCTTTAGTACTGTTGACTTTGTCACTGTCCTGTGATGTTATGATGTTAATTTTACCGGGAAAAGCCGGCGGCTTAAGATACTGAACCGAATTCTCATACCAACAAAGTGGAATCGAAACCAGTCAGCATAGAAGGGTGATAGGGAGGTTTTTGCTGCATTCTGTTTTGGCCTACGAGCGTGATAGATACAAGTAGTGTCGGTGATGATTGAGGATCCCGATGATGTGCACTGATTATTATCGTGGGAGTCATGATGGAGTAGCTCAAATAAATGTTGAGGGCAGTGCGATGGAACACCGGACGCGAGACGGTTTCATTGGCAAGCAAGAAAGCGGACAGATCTTCGATGCCTGCTTCGGTCATCTGAAAACAATGCCTACCACTTTTGCCGTGTCTGTGGACTGGCGAAAATGGATCTTCTCGTTTGTGAAGAAGGTACCGGCTTGAGTTGGAGGAATTCCTCGGGTTTTCTGCCTATTAAGTTCTGAATTCGGAACATTATCAACGTTGGGTAAAGTGTAGTGATTTTAATACAATTCCGAGCGCTGACTGAAGAGATCAACGTAACTTCGGTAGTTAAACAGATGAACTCACTCAACACAGGTTATTTCAAATATCATGCTCCAAGCGCCTGCTCACCTTCACACATGCCAGTAAATCTAGTTCATGCCGCCGATTTACTACCTTTCGTCTGTACTGACCATGAGTTTTGGACAAACTGCTCAACAAATACAAACCAAAACATTACTAAGTACGGATTTTAGTACTATAGTCGTCACGACAGCTGACAAAGTAGGTTGGCTCAAGGTGGTTGTAGTGGTGTTGGCGGAAAGGCTTGTCCGAGGATGTACGTGGCTGGATGCTTGCATGCGCTTGTAGATCTAGGGCCAAGGGCAGTCTCTATTTAGACGGCTGAGGAGGCGAGTGCCTGAGAAGGATGTGCTACAGCCAGTTTCGAGGCGCATCGATGACCAAGCCTTTGCGTCCACGAAGCGAAACCAGGGACAACGGGGTGGCCGTGGACCCTGCAGCACGGTGGAGAGGAGGCAGGCACCTTCATACGCCGACCCCGCAGCATTCCCCGCCACCTGTACGGTGGGTGGGCTTGCGCCCTCTGGCATAAGCGTTCGCATCTCCTCGCTCACCCGTTCCCGTAAACCTGTCGAAATAAAAACAGCACATGGTGATGCGTGATGCTTTTCTGCAGACTTTCACACGGGATTGCCACCAGCACTACCACGCTCGAAGGCTCTCATTTGCTAACCTACATTTACTACTGAGTAAATTCAAGTAGAACCAAATGCTCTCGGCACTGAAGACGGTGAAAAAGGGTCATTTGCGTTGCCCACATTCAGAGGCACCATGTTGTATCAATCACCCGTTTTGTATGCTTCTTACTACCAGTTACGCAACGCTATCGGTAGAAAAGTGTTTGAAAGTAATCGGCAGCTTGACAGATAGACCTGAGAGTTCAGTAAATTTACAGTGTATTGTGGTAATTGCCAAAACCATTTTTGCAAATCGCACGCGCTGTCATTAGTAAACTAATGCAAAAGACTGTTGCGGAAGATACCTAGTCATGCATGATTTTAACGCTAAACTATTTTCTAGTTGGATGTTACTGACAGTAAAGCCTGTATCCCTCGTCAAATTATAAGCAGAACGTTTTTAGAAACTACATCTCATCGTCCACCTTCGATATCTGCGAACTCGCCAATGAGGAGGACGTTAGAGCAGATTGCACCGCGAAGATCAACACTACAGGACTGGATAGCCCTGTTAAGGAGTGTCTTGAAGGGCGGCAACTCCCCATCGTAGGTGCACGCCTGTTCAGGTCGCAGGAGTGCGTCAGAGGCCTTCCGTCGCAACTCCGCTGGCACAGAAATGCGTCTATGCATGGGGAGGGGGAGGATGGAGGTTTCAATATTACAAGGGAATAGAAATTATTGAAGCGACCCTCAGCACACCACTAAAGACGCAATTCAGCATTTGCTTTCCATAAAGTAAAAAGTAAAATTTGAGATCTGAGAAGAAGGTTTTCCTTTCAGATTATAAGGTGCTATCTTTCTGGTATCCAAACTGTAGAAATGTAATTATGCGCAGAGGCTTTGATCAAATGAAAAGACTTACTTATTAATAGGGCAGGGTGCATATTGAGACAAATCGATCACAATGTCATGACATTTCGTCTCCTTGTTTTCAATAAATGCCGCCTGAAACATTAAAAGATAAATCACATTAGGTTTTTATACTGCACAGCATAAAAATGTCAGATCCTTAGTTTTTTATTAGCAAGTTAATTGAAAATTGATTTCAAACACCGAGCTGCGTCTGCATAGGTTTTTTATCGTTACAAAAAACAAACGGAGCAAGTCTTCGGCTCAGCCGGCTAGCAAAGAGTAGCAGCACAATTACTGACCCTGCTTTTCACAGATTTTCCTCTTCATATGGTCTTCCTCTCAAATATTGGGGCACACGCACGCCAGATTCTCTACGTTTCTAGTTAGTACTTTAATTATTGTGCCATAAATCTAGCCTTTTCCATGGTACCGGATAAGACTACGAGATAGGTTAAAGTGGTTTTCCAGAGGAATATTTATGACTGAAATTCTACGTAGCGCCATTGGTGCCAATGGTATCCGGCGCTAATAGTAGTAGTCGAATATGGTTTTAATACCTTCTAAGCATCCTACGAAGCAGGTCCACGATGGTGTCTGCATTCGAGTCTGCCCTTACGATACTCTATGAATAACACAGGAGCTGTCATTAGAACAAAGTCACTTTGAAATTCATTGGAACGGCTTGTTGAACTAGGCGCAACTCAGAGCGTTAAAAAGGTGATATCTATGTGAAGAGATACCTAACCTTCTGGTAGATGTAATGTCCAAAGCACTCGATTTCCTGTTCGCTTAAATTTATGTTCCACTTGACCATCTCCTTCATCAGGAAGCAAAGAGCCTCTTCGCCGTAAAGAGCAACGGTTGACCTACCAAGTTCTACAAGCCCTCCTACAACGAAAACAAGAAAGCCACAGTATTCCGGTCGATTGCAAGACTTATTGCAATAGAATGATCTTTTACAATCATGTGGATGCCACGCCAGCTTCATGAGTTCTGCACAAACCTCCTCCTTTTTCTGTACTTAGATAGCGAATTTGGAGGTGCTACCAGTCCTACGGCATAAGTTACTCTACATTTTCGAAACAACGGTAACCAATTCGCTCTAGTGATAAACGCGTCAATAATCAGGTCTTGGTGCTCATTGCGAATAACAACATTTTATTGCTCCAATCCCTAAATTTGTGCTTTTGACCGCATTTCAGCTCCATCTTAAAAACGGAGATGAGGGAAATAGTATATTTTATTAGCTTATGAACAGATAACTACAAATCTCTAATATATCATTTCCAAACACTAGGTAGTCTCGCACCTCAGTCAGACTTTACGGAAATCAGAAATTAACCCTCTGGCTAGCAAAAGCAGAAGCAAACGTGGTCTTGTACTTATTTTATGAGACACTTTCATTCTAGATATGCATAATTCAAGTGTGCGGCCTTTTATTACGATTGGTAAGTATTGGCAAGAATAAAAATATTACTGCTTGAAAGAGGCTTATAAACTATCTCCTATACCTCAACTCTTCTTGAAAAATCCAAAAGCCGTCATTTAGATGACTTTAATTTTATAGCGCATATGGATGTGCAAACCTCAAAGCGAAATTATCAGACGTCGCACAAGATAAATACGGTAAATGCAAACATGCATATGACCAACAACTGTTCAGAGACGACGTAGGCTTAAACAAATTCGCCAAGCGTGATCCGACCATTAAGATGTTTTGGACTTCATGATCAAATAAAACTTAGTAAGCCACTCAGACACCTGAAGTTTGAAGAGTGAAAGCAGATATAATGAAAAGAAGAGCGCATTCTCTGCATTAAAAGCAGCCAATTATTTTTGTTTAATGCTTTAATAAATCGAATTTCAACCATCTGCCCAGGGACTTGAGAGTCAAACATTAAAACTTAGCTTATCCTGTATAGGCGCATGTGAATCTGTTCCCAAAGCTAATTAGGCTGTTTTTAGGAGCTTGGGTGGAAGTGAGGGCACCTCAGCATGTTGCAAAATTTTCAGCTAACAATGCAGAACATAGGCGAAACAAAACAAAGTGTCTCACTCCAGCAAATGGGACAGGAAAGGAAGTTCAACTTGGGGCAAAAAAATATAAACCCAAGGACGTATGCTTCCAGCAAGGCTATTTGTTCACTTAAGCATATTGTATGAATTTGCGTGTGAACGACAAGTTCAGAGCTGAAATGAAACCCAGAAAAGGTGCTATCATCTGACTGACCCTCAGCCAAGGGAATGATTTCAAGATCCGCACTAAGGGAGATGACAAGACAGGTTAAGACCTTTGCAGTCTGCAGAGCGGCGCGAAAGGCGGAGATGGTCGCTACGCTTTCGATAATTCCGAACCCTTCAGCCTCCGCGATAGGGCCGAGAAAGTAGTCAATAAAATGCGGTCGCAGCGCAGACGCCCGAGTTGGCAGGCAAAGCAGGAGCTGTTGTCACATGTGGAGACCAATGTCGTGATGTTATCACACAAGTATGGAGTCAGGGGATTCACTGATCTCACCTTAAAACTCTTGCCGTATTCGTGCAGGTTGAGTCGCTGGAATATCGCTTGGAAAAAATTCTTCTGGATTGGGACGCCTTTGACAGTAATTGGTGACTGCAGCAATGTAAATCAAGCAGAAATACTAGTGATAGAGGAGTGGACAAGCCGAGAAAGAGGAGAGAGGGAAGTCTATTTACAGTAATCTGACTCTGACGCAACGGGGAGACGATTGACGTGTTGCCTAGGCCTTCCCCGCCTTCGGTATCTGTAATCTGAGGCACGGCATCACCGAAGAGGAGACCTGTCGAAGTCATACCGATGGTGTTAAGTAGACAGAGGTCGGGCTTTGTTGCTGAAGTGGGCAATGGGAAAGAAATCAAAACGGTTTGACGGGACCCCATCAATCCTTCGAAAGGCACTTACCATCATTATGCAGAACTCCAGCTCGCACGTAGTAATGGCCCATATCGATGATGATTACCTTCTAGAAAACCAAAAGACGTGATACTTTAATATTGACCAGCCCTTGTTGAGTGCTTTTCTTGAATTTCTTCTCCAACTATTAAAACATTACTTAAGAATATATTTGAAGTAGCTGGTCCATTTAAATTATACTTTGAAACTTGACAACAGACAATAGCTGAGAGACAGAAACATTACGCTATGAACTGATCATTCGGTGTTCTATCGATGTCCCCAGCATGCAATTCCCATTTCGACGCTGGCATGAACTACTTGAGACTTTTTAAAAGAACTGCGTGCATAATCGCTGTACAGTTTGCTTATAAAGATTCTGTGTCACTTTTAAAACATTTCAAAATATAACATAACATATAGCCTAGGAAAAATAGCAAAATTGCACAGAGTGACAATGGGTGTTGTAGACTATTTTAACGGCAACCATCTAAGAACATGACAATAACAGCTCCACTTCACGAGACACAATGTTGCATCCCTGCAAGCAAATGACACACCCACGACCTCTTCAAACGGAGCCACTCCTGTGGTAGGTAAGTATCACTAACTGCACCAAACCAATGTCTCATTCATTTGGCACATGAGACACTCGCGCACTTCCATGATGCATTCTTTCATTTTTGTCAAAACTGCTCCACCTTCCTCATTCTGCGCAAAAGGGATATTCGACCCTCACCTCGTCTGAGCACAAGTGACTTTGGCCACTGCTCCTACCGCTCACTAGTGAAAGAAAGGGTGTGGGTTTCTGTCGCAAAGCAAAAAGTAAAAGCGTTTCCCTATAAGTTATCACCAAAATTTCACACAAATCACGCAGCACATTGGTTTAGGCATTGCAAAAAATTAACATTTCCAACGTTCATTTAATGTCGCATAGCTCAGGAGCTACTTTTAAAAGCCACTGTTAGGTAAACCGAGTCCAAACAACAGCCTTCCAATTCACAACTATCAAGGCGATTGATAAATCAGGGACTCACACTCGCCACAGTTTCCCGCAAAGCATACAATTACACATTACTCTGATCCTGATTCACCAAACTCAAGCAAACAATGTTCAAGGAATGATGATGAAGTTAATTGCACATCCTGTGCACGCATTTTCTTGCAAGATGTGGTTGTATGAGGTTCAAATTAATTGACAATTAGAGTTGGCAGATCGCCCGACCGCACATACCACGACCCCTCCTTGAGCCACTTGGGAGACCACACTGGAAAGCATTTCATCGCGTCAAGCATCAATGCGTCACTTGCTCACAGTTTCGCCAGTTTTCCTGCCTACCACATGAGAAATGAAGCCAAAGGCTATGAATCCGTGCTTCCTTTCCTTCCGAAACTTAACTTGAGCGAGCAAATCTGAGTGGTAAATATCCTCTCCAAATAAGATAAGGAATCCCTCCTCTAGTTTACCTGCATACATGCCCTGTCGTTTTGTTTAGACTCAAACGGAGGAATCACGGAAGTTGAACGACGATTCTCGGCAGCAGGCGGCTCCTTTGACATAGAAAAAAGGGCAGCTTTGACATGGGTATTACTTCCGTTTGAAGGTCCTTAAATTGGTTCAGCAAAAGTAACTAATGGCAATCTTAAAATGAATCGCTTTTGACTCTAGAGCAATTATATGGAAGGTGTTAATGCATCAGGACTGATTTCGCTAACGCCTAGCATATTTAATCCTACAATAATAGTACATTTGAACCGGTAATCGAGAGAAGCGATGAAAAATCTAAGGAATTGAGTGCATAATGGCTATTAGTCTTTTCTCAACTCATAATACGTAAAACTGCTTTTCGATGAACGAGTCAATGGCGCATAACTCGGAAATATCCGCATAATACAGAGGCAATAAAAACCAGAACTGATACGTTTGATAGCAACAGATTCCGCGAATTTGATAGTTACCCTCCTTGAAATTGTGGTAAGCCAATTAGTTATGTAAACATTCCTTGTCCTAAAAATGAAGCTTCGACGAAATTCAAAGACGCTCAACCAAAAGGCGATGACAATGCAACCTGAGTGTTGTAAAACCTGGTCGAGTCTGAAGTCTACTATCGGTGTAGAAGTTTGATGATCCGTCAGGCCCCTCCAATATCACCGTGTATTCCTTTAGCAATGTAACACTTGCAAATGTCGTCCACGTGATTGGAAGTAGCCAAATCCCTCAAGCGATTCTACGACTCGACCTTGCCTACGCATGAACGGTGATCACCCAGACACGAATTCCACTCATCCATTTCCATTAGCTGCCATTGGTGAGTTGTACTCACTCTCACCTCCGGGATCTACACACGCCCACATGCACACGCACACACGTTCACACTCATCAAATGGATAGGCAAGGCTAATTGCAAGGCTTCATTTCAGAAGCTGACGCACTTGATAGAACTTCGGTTCTGTCTGCAGTCGAGGCGTAATCCCCTGAGGCAAGACGTCGTTTCTCTGTCCCAAGGCTGGTGTCATGTTGGAACTCCCTTTGGTGCTCCTCATTGGCGAGTCTTGGGTCTATAATGAGGAAGGTAGTGATACCATATTTCTGATGCCGGTGTCTTCTTCATTATTACCTTATTTCGATTCCTTGTGGCAATAGCACAGTTTGATGTACCCCGTTGTGCAGAGTCAAGTGGTGAGGGCTCCATCGACACTCTTCTCTTTATAATACCCTCTCCTTCTGGTGTGTAGTGGAGATTGTAAATTGAATATCGGCAGACAACGTGGTAAAATTACAGCTTTGCCTGGTTGATTGCGTGGCAAAGCCTCAACGTGATGGAGGCATCTGCCTCTCTCAGTGGAGTGTTATTAACATTCCTCGTGGTAGGCTGTACTGATGGGCGGCCTCGCTCAACTTATGTAATTCAGCCGTCTCGATGGGCACAAAGAGTGGGGAGTTGTTTAACTCACTTGCATCCGTACGGGCATCGATGCCGAGAATCGAAACATTACTGTGCCCCATCAACCCTGGAAGAACTTGTGAATTATCTGCAGTGAGGTACTAATCTCTCAACTAGCCAAAATCTGTCATTTTAACAGTGGTTACCCCAGTTGTCCAATTTTTTTTGATAAAGATATTGGATTATATGGAGCATCATTATTATGGCCATTGTTGGATGGGGCATTTGCGTAGTAGATGTGATAATACAGCAAGGTTAGACAACAATGAGTAAAGAAGGGCATCTCCGAAAAGCAGAGATAAAATAAGCGTTCCCATGGTTGGATCTCTGTCGCTTTTCATATTTTAGTACACAAATTTGGCATTCAAGGCTAAGACGAACGGAGATCCTCAGGTCGCATTGCCATAAATCTGAATAAATGCTCAACTGACACTGGCTCACGTGATTCCTTATCATGAGTTGATCAAATCATCTCATTAGTCATAAAGGATTTTGTATGTGACAGATGATTTACGAAACTTACGAAAAGATGAAACGATTTTGCTGTCTTCAAACCTAATATACCGTTCGGAGATTCTTTTAATTCACTTAAATTTGCTAAAGCAAGAATCATCTACCATCTTTCATTCGTTTTTTTTTTCACCTACTCAACACACAGTGACTTGGTGATCCTGGTTTTAACTAAAATTAAGGTACATTCAACTAGAATTATTGCTTGAAAATTAAAAAAAAATCACAAGGGTGGGTGGACACCTGATATAAACTCCAACCCTGACAACCATGCATCATTTTAACTTGAGTACATTGAGGCAATATAAAAGCTGCTGATCTCCAGTAAGACGTTAGCTCACTTTAAAAATTAATGAATCCTCCTATTTGAGCTGTGGTGTAACAATGGTGAGCGCATGATCAAATTCAGACCCGTGCCAGACGGAGGCATTATCTCAGACACCTTTTTGTTAGCTTCAACAGTCCTTTTGCTTTAATTGGATCCCAGAAAATCTAATTGCAAGCACTTAGGGTTTGGCACAAAAACACTGACGATATGGCTAGTAGAACTTCGACAAGACTAAAAAATAGTGGCTTTGCAATTATTATCATTACCTGATGGTAAAATGGATCTGCGGATCGACATTCCGCACGACTGGCTTCTTCGTAATCGATGGAGCTGTTCAAAGCTCCAGCCTTTTGAGCTACTCGTAGTGTGATGGGATTGGAAGGAGCGGACTGTAACGTAAAAAGAAGCCGAGTTACCGACATAACAAAAATGAGTTATAGCACACAAGGCCATCGGAGAATGACGCACCAACTTCTTTACAGGCGCAAGGCTCTTTGCCTCAGGAGTAGGCCTCACGGATGGCGGGACTTTTTCAGGCTGTGGTGAAGGAATCTAAATTCACAGTTAGAAATGCAATGGTATCCTGGACATTGTAGCGTTTATCAAATAATTTGGTGATCAGTTGATCCATGCTTGGACTTACATAACCAGGGTATTGTTTGGTGGCGGAATGATGTGTGATTCCACTTTCTTTTTCTTTGCTCTTTACAAAGGCCGTCAACTATTAAATAGAAGATAAGGAGTAACATGAACTCATGCTCTCCTTTTCTCTTCGGTAAATGTCATAATCCCAAGCTTACACCACCGTTATAGTACTATCTGAAGAAACAAACTCACCTGTTCAAAAAAACTGTCTTCCTCAGTTGAGCCTTTTGGGTGCTTCTCACCATTGTCACTGACCTTAGAAATTGATTCACGCTAAGAGAATAGACGATTGATGAATACCTCACAGAGACAGATTGAAATGGCAAAAAAAAACTTATGATGTGACAGCCCTGCAAAGAAAGTTTTATTCAACTTATACTAGTAAAAAAATGTAGGATTTCATCAATTAAGCATTTTATCTTAAACTTTCAACTTTAGATAAGCACAACTTAACCCCTGACAAAGGAAATGGCGAAATTTTGGTGTTGTGATGCGTAGGAGCATTCCATGGGAAATGATGCTTTATTTACTATGCAAATATTCAAGTTGCTTTCATAGTTTCTTTGCAACTAAACTTGTGGAACAATAATTCTGCATATATGTATCAATACATCGTCAAAACTTTACAAATGGGAAATGGTTTTGTCAAAGTAAAACGCCAAATCTCGCTGCAAATGAGAGCTCTTAAGTTTTTTCTCACCATGAATAGGTATAAAAGAATATTGGCCAAAGTTACCTCAACTGAAACGGGCAACTTTATAGGCATCGAATCGCTTTTGGGTGTTTTTGGTTGTGAATTCGTCAAATGTCTTAGTTCCTGTATAGAAGGAGCGAAGGAGTTTTGTGGGCTTAAACCCGCAGCTGGTCGAGGCCTGGGAATACTCTGATTCTTTATAAAAAACGGACAAGATGGATCGTGATGGTTTGTTTTAAGTTCGAATGTATTCGACTCAAGCATTTGCTATTAGAGCCTCTAGTAAAAGTCCTTCATTACAGTCCAAATATCTTATCGTTTTTATGTAACACCAATTGTTCACTTGTCTCCCATTGGTGGGGAAATCTAAAACACCGGAAAAGTTTCTGTTCCTAGCCCCTAATTCTCTGACTTGTTTCGAAACCCACACTATCGATCACATTCTTACGATCGGCTAACATCACATGCGGATAGCCTACGAATGCACTGATAATTCCTGTAAGGTCAAGGCCATTCCAGACAATGTAAATACTCTAGCAGTCCACCCAGTGAGCACGTATATGAAACCCACACGTCTGTGTACTCCCCTCATTAACATTAGAGGCCTTTACCACAAAGTCTCCCTTTTACTTACTATATTGGGGGCTGAGGTAATGTCCATGCTGAGACACTAACATGACGGGGCTAACAACTATTGAATGCATTTCTTTGTGGGGGCATGTGAAATGTTTATGAAGTGCAGAGTTGAGTAATAAAATCGAGATATCTCATTTATATGATGCTGAAAGTGAAGGTGTCAAAAGTGTGGTAAAGCAAGATTCAGAATAGAAAGGGGACGGATTCCACTTTATCCGAAGGAGGAAACCTTATACAAGTGTATCCGTATCTAATACGTTTCCTCGCTCCTTCGATTAGGTAATCACAGCATGAAAAGCGTGAATTTAATTAACTGCTCCTATCTTAAAAGATTACAAGAAGTGGCATTTAAAATATAATCTTAAAAGTGCTCCAATTAACTCAACTGGAATCGAGTATTTCCGGTAAACCTCATCCTTGTTTGATAGGTTTTGATGGGATTTCGACTTGAATAGACTTTCCTACAATCAAATTTAAGAAAGTGTGGTTTATTTCCCACCTGGAAATAGATTAAATTAAATTGGTACAAAGGTAACTGTGTAACAGGCTACATCCGCAAAATTTTTATCCACAGCTATTTCATTTTTTGTGCAAATTTAATTCATTCAGGCTATTCTAAGACGGTTTGCAATTCTTACAGATGTGAGAGATGTGAGTTTACAAATTTGACTATCAGTAGTCCTCTAAATTTAGCTCTAAGACGTGTCAATGCTGCTGTATCATCGTCACTATTATTACCAGGATTACCAAACATCTACAAACCTCGTGATCTTCATATTTCTACCTTCTGAGAAACAAAGTAATTTCAATAGCCCTTAATAACTCAAGGCTGTAATAACAAGATTAATGAAAATTTTGAAGTAAGCTAATTGTAAGTTTGTACGGAATGTCAAGACATTGACCTTTTCATAGAGATTCGCATGGCTGTTAACATCCTTGTGATATTTCCCCAAATGACCGCTGGGTTTGGGGACAAACTGGTCCTTGGAGGGGGTGAAACAGGTAGTTTTTAATGGAGAAATTTTGGTTGTTTTAGTGAGAAATTCACCTCATTAGGAGGTGTAACGCCTAAAATTCCACTATTCTTGTAGAAAAGGATCAAAATCTGAAATATCACTTCACTGAGTAAGCTGTTGAGAGAATCACCTCAAAATCAACTGACCTTGGCCGGCTCTGATGGCAGACGAGAGACCCGGAAAGTGTGATCGTCTAGGAAAGGCCTTGGTGAGTTACGGTTGTTATTTTGATCCTAAACGCAACAACAAATGAGTAAGTCAGTCGAAACTATACTCCACTCCTTTCATTCCAGTACAATGATTTTAGGAAAGTATGGAATCTTGTCACTAGTTTCAATTTATCACTAGAAAAATAACCAATTTTTCCTCACAAAATAGACAATCACAAGCTACGATTCACAGCTCAATACCTGGATATTTAACTTTAGAAATAATTGAAATTCCCCACCTCGACTGAAACTGAGTAACGCCACGGAATCTCCTCATTGTAAGACGGGATGCTCCGTTGCTTTTTAAAGGATTAAAGATGAAGAAGTCATGAGTTATGAAGTAAAAATTCTTAATAAAATAGGAAATCGGCTAGCATCTTCACAATCCACTCGGAGTTTGTTTCGACAGCACACACTGACTACTATTGCGACATTCCGGTGGATCTGGTGCCATGTAAAGTGTCTTTAGTACGAAAGTATGAATTATGCTAGATTGGAAGTGTCCTATTATAAAGTCCCTTCAAAATTCGCTTATCAAATAAAACAGGAGTGCTATACACCCTGTTTGATTTAGCGTTTCTTTCAAGATCCAAGCTCTAAGGTTTTTTCCCACTTTTTGAGACATGCGAATTTACAATGTAAAAGTGGCGTAGCGGTACCACTTATACTCAACAGCAAATCAGTGTCCCATGCTGAAAAGTCAAGCCCAACGTAAATTCAAGTAGATAATGTTGAAAAGACTGAAAACGCCTATCTAAATTAAAGTTAAAAATTTCAAAGGGTTGATAACCTTACTTTCCTTACTAATGTTTCTCCATCTTCCGGCCTTTTATTCGTCCGCTGGCGATTTGTTCGGTTCGGTGAATCGTAGTGTCCACTTGGCCGAAATTGCAATTCGCCCTAAATTCAAGAGAAGTACTCCCAGTGTTCTTCGGTAACAAAGATCATCTTTATCCTTGAAACTCTTCTTCACTCCTAATTGGTTTCAACTTAAGAAAGCATGCAAGGCGTCTCTCAAAATCCCAATTTAAGCCTTTTAACGAACGATTAGATGCCTTCCGCAGGTAATTAAAATTTGATCGGCTACTTTGTTTAACTTATTTGACCGAAAATGTTTCACTGCCAAATTGATGATTTTGTTGACGCAAATACGTACATTTACGATTGAATTATCAAAATCTTCCAATCTCTGCCTAGAAACATAATATGTTCTTGTTGGGGAGTAATTAGTGGACTCTGTTGTTGCAAATTTGCCCCTTGGTGAGTTGCTCCTCTCCATCCTCAAATTCGACTTTACAGGCACTGGCGTGAAACCTCCTGAGGCCTTTAAAAGGTGAACAATTCATTATCAGAGTCCATATATTATATCAAGCACTCTTAAATGAGCTGTTAAGTGTTTAGTCTGGTAAGATTAACGTGAAGTAGGATTTATTTATTACACAAATAAAGTTGGCGCTATAATACACAGGCCTAATGAATTCTAAATTTTGCGAAGAGGTAGCGTTAAGTCTTGGTGGACCAGAGGATTAGAACACTGAAAGCTATCAATAACAAGTAAAAGTCTTCGACTTAAAAGTTACGCGTTACATCATTTCAATCAACCAATTCGTTTTGAGTTGCTAGCGATTGTGATCAACTACTTGATGTGTTAATCCTGAGGTTTACACAAGCAAAGTCATCGGATTAGACAATGCGCATAAGGCTGGTCTACATAGTGTAAAAATTCCAATCAGTGCACTGCGTTTTCTCAAGCGTTTAAGAGTATTCTATCGATACGAAACGAATTCCCCTTAAATTTAGACACAAAATGTCCCATGATGTCGAAGCAATTAACTACTTTTAATGAATAAAGCCAAAATAGAAAAGATAGCTTATAAGATCCCAAATTACTGCACTTGATCCATTTTCTTTGGTGCAACAATTTGGCGTCGCCTTTTGTCAAAATAGCGGTATCAGACATACACCATGCCTGTCGGCACAGTTTAATGTAACCAACTTGTCACACTCAACCAGAAGGTAGATAAAGCTATGTCACAGAAGCCAGGCGTACGAACATTCTTATTCACTTCTCTATTCTCCTCAATCCCATTCAAATAAGGGTCATATTTGGACTCTCATTTCGCGATCTCGTAGTAAAGGAAGAGAGAACAATGGCGTCAGGCTGCCAATTTGACAGGCCAGTCGTGTGATCTTGGCTTCACTGCAAGGTTTGCGTCTACATTAGACGTGGGGCCTATTTTCATGAGCAGATGTACCTTATGTTGTGAGAATGCTCACTTCGAGATAAGTTGAACTTTGACTTATCGGTTTTCAGTTATGTGGGCTTTGAGGCCAAACAATTTGACCTAAATTTAATTAATGCATAAATAGATACAAATTGCTCAGATTAGTCAATTCCAACTTAAGTTATCATGTATGAGAAAAATTTTAAAAATTGCCTCATAACTGTAGAACGATTATTTAGGCGAGTATATAGTGACTTCAATTAGGCAAAGTACTATGTGAGAATTAGGCAGCATAAAAGTGATTTGCGAAATCTGTTTTAGAGGAAAATAACTTGCCAATTTGTAGGGCACTGTCTCGTCCTCGCCCCGATAAGAGAGCCTCGAATCAATAAATCGTGATCCCTATGCAAATCAAATAGTAATAGCGATTACCGTACTCTGACAACAGCCGTATCCCCTATTCTGTTTCCCGGGGGGATGAAATACTTCTCTCTCGTATCGTTCGGGCCGTCTATCAAAAAAGATGAATAATCTTGAATGTTCAGAAAATCGAAGTGCCCACCAGTGTCATTTGACATCTTGCCGCTTTTGCTCCATGCCCCATGGCCATAGCCCATGGAGTATTTTCTACCCACCTCCCTCGTAGCCATGCGCGTATGTATCTCTCTAGGTGTAAATGTAGGCGTATGTGTGTTTGCTTGTGTTAATAGCTGAGTGTGAGGCACAGTAATTGATTGCGCCGATGGCGTGGTACTAGGAGCCACGCTAGTTGCAATCGCTTGGATTCTAGTGACGCTAATTGGCAGATGGCTCCAATCGCCCTCCAGACAAATGCATCGCAATTCCACTTGCACGCGAAAAAGGCTGCTCCATTGATATCCAACCATTTCTAAAAAAATTCTGCTGCCTTCGTTTTTAATGCCTGCCATTTTCATTGTTGCAGAAATGAAAATCGATGGAATATTTAAAGGGGCATCCCTAATCTGATTAAATGCATAACTACGCATTCCTATAAGTAAGTAGTTCCTCAATTTAAAGAATATGAGGATGCACTGCATTATTATATGGTGTTAAAAGAAACACTATTAATTAAAGAGATGCAGTCTGTGGATGGTATAGCTAGTAAATCCCTGAATAATTGGCAAAAAAATGCCAAATTTAAAAAAAATAATTGTTTTTGCGCCGCAAGTAAAGGCGTCATTTAAAATCACTTACTTCATTTTTTTAGCAAATCAGTTCATTGTGGTGACCACAAAAATTCCAAAAATAAACGAGTTCCCCCATGTTCTTTAAATTCATATGATCAATGTAGTTATTGCCAGGCATTAAGGCAAATCTGACTACTCCCCATCCATGATTAACCTAAATCCACCAAGCCATTTTCTCAGGATTTGCTCGGTTATTGGTTTTCGAGGTTTTGTGCGAATGAAATTGACTGACACGAAATAGGTTTTGTTAAACAAAAAATGACAAAATTGTGTTAAACAAGTATAAGAGCCACGTGACTGTCTTGCATGCGTATGGAGTGGAATATTTTTCACCTGTTGCATGGTTTTATGGCCTGAAAAACACGAAAAAGTGTTACCAACGTCAATAACCTTGCGCGACATTGCCCAATAACCATCACGCCTTCACCAGACGAGCGCCCTGTTTACAAGGGACTTAGTTTGATTCAAAGTTAGTGGTGGTTTAGTGCATTGCGGCCATTAACTTCAATTACTATAAGGAAAAGAAATCTGCTGCACAAACATGGTCTCCAAATAACATCGTGTTTTCTCACAATAGAAAAATCCTCCCCTCCCTTTTGGAAACAACAATAATACCAATCAAATGGGATCACATGCTGGTGCCTTAAGATGTGAATTTCGCAAATGTGAATCTGCTTACACCCAATTATTCTCAAATTAGATCACCCGCCCCTAAAGAAGCTACATTTCAATGACTTTGCTGCGCGAGTTTTATGCGGACTAATGCTGAGTTGAGGGAGACCACGGAAGCGGTAGCATTCGATTGTGCCATCGTAGACGACAACTTTTTCTGTGTTTACAAGAGCAATAAGGTGGGATTGAAAGCGAAGCAATCACGATACGCAGACATTTTATGATATTAGAAGCAAAAAGAAAAGAATATGCTTCATGTGCCATAACAAAATAAATCCGAATTACTCAGCTCGTGCTTCAGCTAAAAAGAAGCCACTAAAAGAACTTTTCAGCCAGCTGTTTTAATCAAGATTACTGGCTACATAGCCCTTTCTCGAACACTTATAACGTGGTAGAGAGAATCACCATTTGTGTACTTCTTCTGCCGAGAAATCTCTGCAAAGGCTTGGCATATGGTGCGCCACCCGGGGCTTGTACTTCGTGAGACAAGTGTGTCGACTGCCTCTCTTCATTTTTGTTCACGAGAGGAGGAGTTGAGAGCAGTGTCGGGACTCCATAAGAGATGTCTTTTCTTAGACAATATGGGTCTAAGAGCTGCCACAAGCTGTGCGTTTAGGCCATTAGGTTTTAAATTGTATTTTAGACAAATTTACAAAATCATCAGATCAACTTTATATGCTGTGGTTTGTCTAGTAAGAGTAAATTATTTTGCATAGGAGAACAGGAAAATTTGCTAATGATTTGATGTGGAATATCCTATGCATATTTTTTATCACCTTAAACGTAATTAATGAAGACCACTCCTGCTATATTTACGGTATGATTTAAAACAGCTTCACACCTGCATTTTTCGCCTAATTCATGGAATACGGCATTTTTTTCATTTTTTTTGCGAATCCCAGAGCTAAACTTAAGGGCACGTAATTAAAAGCGGTGTCGATGTAGCGCTCTTTGACTACCTCGATGACAGAGGGGACAATACTTGGGCAGAATATGAAGTGCCGTTGCAGAGAGGGGCTATGGGGTCTTCTGGGATGTCTCAAAAGCCAGGCCCCCCAGCAAGGGTACAGTGGAGGAGCCTCAGTGCCCCGCTACCGAGATCGAGAGTTGACCAAGCAATTAAAGTACTACATACAAATGAATGGACCCATTATCAGTGAGGGACGATATTGAATCACTTTAGTTTTTAACCGTTTAGAGTAATTTTAAAATCTTTTGGTTTGATTTCTGTTGCCTAAAGTTCCGTAGAAATACAAAGGATAAAGCAAACTCATTCAAATAAAAGTGATGCAGATCAAATTTTTGAGTTATTTAATGCAAAGTATCGGAGTATAGCGCCCTCAGTCTTCCCCTAAGTCGTGATGAGGCATAATAATATAAAATAATACTTTGGCGATTTGTTAAACTTTTCGTTTTGGTGTATGGCCATTGTACTTTCGCTGGGCGGCATGGCCTCCGGACTATGCTAGGAGCACCCAGCCCCTCTTTACGTTAGCAATACGTATTCTACCCTAGTATTACGTCTCCTTTCAACTTCAGGAAAGTCTCGGGGCGTTATAATAAAGTAATGCTCTATTATTGACATAGCGAGGGACTGAGAAAGCCTTAGGGATGACTGAAAGCCTGGGGAGTGCGTACAGTTTAAATCATAACAAAACAAATGCTAAACCATAACATGACTTTCTTAATCAGTTTAAGAGGTCGCGAAATACCTTTTTATGACTGTTCTAAGGACTAAGAAGGATATTGTCAAGGCTCCTTCAGATGTGGCTTTGCTTCCCCACTTTATCCATTAAATAACCAGCTTTGGCGGAATTTTTTTGCGACAGTTACTTTATAAAGCTAATGGAGTACTATTAGACTTGGCAAAAGTATGTCTAATGACCGAGATCTAAATACTTCGGTGGATGGTTTAAGACGATCCCTTCTAGCTGACGACTTCATCTCTGACAATAAGTCAGTAACTTGCGTTAGAAGAAATGGATATACGTCCAACCCCTTTTTTTCAACGTGGCACCTACTGTTCAATAATATTTGGAAATGTTCAGCTCCTAGTGAGTTGGGTCATCTCGTCAAAACATTGGAACCGCACCCGACCCGAGCTCAAGGCATTTTGCATTATTTTCTTCAAAAATATTTTCCATATTTGAATTTTTTCGTTCATAAGTAGAAACAATACAATAAGCTACATTGATGCACTGTAATATGAATACACGCTGTTCATTTCGTGTAAGGATCACATACCGATTGGGATAGCGTGGAACTCGATGCGGTTACAATTTTTTACTACTAACAACAAAACGCAGGTAGAAAACATTAAGTCATAAAAAAACTGCGCAAAATCTTGTTTCGTCTGCTACCGATTATTTCGTGAGGTCGTAACAATCCTGTAATACGTTGGTTGCTTGTTTAACGATCGGTATTTGGTAAAGGATCCACTGAGGGGCTCCGCTATTGTACCTCGCCGGGTGGGCTGGCCTCCGGGCCATGCCAGTAGCTCCAATACCTTTTATCTATAGATTATGTGTAATCTGTCCGAGCATTGTCTTCTTTCGTCTTCAGGAAAGTCTCGGGGCACTGCAATCCAAAGTTGAAGGGAAGAACCAAAAACACTAGTTTGAGGTGGGTTAGAACGCTGCTAACACGAACCAAAGATGATTCAGCACCGCTGAATTGCAACAAAACATCAATATGACACACACATGTCATAAATGCAAAAAGTCATTCTTTTTTAATCTACTTTATACACACTAAAGGGTGCCACAGAATTTCCCACAAATCAAAGATACGCTTAGAATGAACTTTTTTTGAGAAGTTTTATTTGAATGTCTAGCTTGGTACTGCTATTCACCATTTTAAAGAAACTGTTGAAAAGGGCTTTATATTTCGTCCTTACCTTACCTTAAGTTGCACAAAATAAAATTAAATTAAAAGGCAAAAGAACACAATTCTGGGGGTTACTTGTATTTTCCCGAGAATATAAGTTGAAGAAAATAAAAAAATACGAATGCGGTTTCTCCACTTAAAAACAAGGCCTAAAATTCGGAATAATTACTTTGCAAATGTGAATTGATTGGGGAGTTTTTGTGCAGTCGAATGCGGACAAGTCATTTTGCAATGGGTCTTTTTCTTATCAAGATATCATTTTAAATCACAAAAATTTTCCCACCATATTCTACTAAGTTTCTATCAAAAGGGGCGATTGTGGTGCCCCTTGTAAAATACTTTGTTTAGCGCTGCGTTTTCATTACGCGGGCACTTAAGACTCCGATTTTGTTCTTCCACCGGGCGACATGGCCTACGGACTGCGCCAGTAGTCCCTCAGCTCTTCGGCACGTTGGCAATACATTTTCTGTCTTAGTATTATGACTTTTCTCGACTTTAGGAAGGACTTAGAGTGCCACTGTTGAACCACATGGACACTGGCATTTTTGATGGAAACCATGTTTTGATCCTTGGCAGTCATGACAATTTTAATTCTACAGCTACCTAGGATTAGATGGTGCGCCTCTTGGAAAGCCACTGAGGTTTCATTTTTGAAAGCACTGCTCTGGTTTACAAGTCAAAAGTGTAGCATAATGCAGTCGCCAGAACTAAAAAGTTAAATATTAATTTAGCCCCATTTTATAAGTAGATGTCAAATACTCAGGTAGTGGAGTTTACAAAGAAGATTAAATTTGACAAAAGCTGTGATACTACCAACTTCGTCTTTTGCTTTCAAAACAATCCTTTTTTTCATAAGTACCATCCTAATCAAGCGTTACAGCTGCAAATACATTAAACTAGAGGTATTTGGAGCAATATCTTGGATGTAGCTAAACTTACAAAACAGATATGATGCCTTCACTTGTAAGCATTCATTTACACTGATTGAAGAGCCCAAGTGTTCTTTGAGGGCCTTGCAGTTATTTTTTTACTTGCGTGTTTAAATACACGATCGCGTATGCCTAGAAGGCGTGGCGTACCGTCAAACGAGATGGTACCAAAGCGAAAACCAAAGTGATGAAGACTGCAGAGCCTGCGCAGCTGCAGCGCATGTTTAAGAAGTGCAATGTTTATTGCACGTGGGGAAGTGCCCATATGATACCGGCTTTTACCTTGAATTTTACAGCCCTAGCCTCTAATGTATGCTTTTTTAGTGCGGCACAGTTCATAATCGCTAAAATGTTTCAAAGGAATCGAAATCATTCGCTTGATAGCTGCGCTGAACATCTATCATGCTTAGGGGGGGGGGGGGTAAGAAGTTTACACAGATGTCTAAAAAGCCTCGAGGTAAAAAGATGGGGAAGAGGTCGGTGTTGATTGCACGACCAGGCTTCGGTTCGTTTCGCTTCGTTTTGTTGTCAAGGAAGTCCCTTAAAAGTATGGGACATAAAATCTGTAGAATGCCTGAATTTATTCGGGTAACCACAGATATCGTTTGAAAGTGTAATGTCGTTTTTGCCTGCGCAAAAAGAGTTTGACAGGTAGCTCGCTACTATTTAAATCCATGAAAAAAGCAAAAAATAGTTGCATAAATTGCACATACATGAGTTTGGTCAACTGTACCGGGAGAGCAATGCGACTTGACGTTTGGTTTGAAATTTATTACAAGTACAAATTACCATCTGTGTGTCAAATTGGATAAAACGACAATAAAACCAAAGACTTTATTTAACTAAAATATCACTGTAAGAACTAATACAATCAAGTGGGTTTGGGCTGTTATCTAGTACAGATATTTAGAACATAGCGGTTTGTTTGTTGGAATTGAAGTCAAACCTCAAGGTTAACGCCTGGCCGTTCTTGCTTTCACTCTTCATCCGGTAGCGTGTCGGCCTTCCGTTGTGCTTGGGTTGCTGGGTTATTTCACTTGTTCTCTAAATCACAGTTAATAGCTGCAACTCCGCTGCAGTCTTGCAAACAACATGCCGGACATTCTAATTGGTTTTCCCGATGAAGAAGTCGCTCCTACACCCCCAACGGCATTTGACAATTTCATTGGTGGACAGCCAGCAAGTTTGGCAGCGCCCGAGAGTTTCCCCTCGGCTACGCCAGAATGTCCCAACTGTGATGGCCCCACATCTTTTGTTATGCAGCTTTACTGTCCTGTCAATGCTAATGACCGCGTTCTCTACTTTTTCTCCTGTCCTCGAAAGGACTGTCAGGTAACCGGTTGTTGTTGGCGAGTGTTCCGGCTTTCATCCAAACTCCCAGAATCTCTAACACCCCTACAAGAAGATCTTGGAGTTGTTGTGACTAATTGCGAATGGAAGTTGGATGAAGATGACGGAGAAAATGACAGTGATGTCTGGTTTGATCCGTCTTTGGTAAGAATCATGAGTTTTTTTTCCACCCATCAAAAATGCATTTCCAGTCATCTGGATGACATGAAACTTACATCTCTTTCCTCTAGACGGTTAATACGAGGAGAACTGAAACTTCACATGCAATCACCCACCTAATAAGTCCCTTTAAGTGTCACTACATCCAAGTTTATGATGAAACGGATAAGGACCAGTCGGAAAAGTCACAAAACTCCGACCTTTCCGATTGGGTTCTTGATTATCATGCGGAAGCAGAATTTGTGGAGGAGGACGAGAGTGTAGAATATGGTAATGGGAACGATGTCACCTTTACGTCACAGTACCAGCTACATTTGGCCACTCGTGACCCCAGGTACGGCTGCGAACCTGTCCGCTACGCCTGGGTCGGTCAACCGATATTCACTACCGCTGCGCCCTGTGATGAGTGGGCACCCCATCTAAAGTGTCCCAGGTGTGGTGGTCGCCGCGTCTTTGAGGTTCAGCTGTTTTCTACCCTCAACAACTACCTTTCCAATGTGAAAGAGAAGGGTGCTAGCCCCGGTGTGGCCTTTGATCCCATCTGGCCTCTCCAATTCTCAACCCTCATCGTCTTCTCCTGTCTGGCTGACTGCCCATCTGAGGAGTGGGTAGAGGAGTGCGCACTTGTACAAACTGAGCGCGGAGAGAGTGTCTTCAGTAGTGGAAATTGATTTCACACGTTTGTTCTGTACATACCCAGTCTTTCGAAATACAGTTGCTACCTAAGTGTATTTCAGTAAATAGACAACAAAAAGCGAGAGTAGAGAGAAAAGAAGCAAGACCGAGAGATCGTCCTGTCGGTTCGAGGACGTGTGGAAAGAGATGAATGCATAGTCGAACGATTCTGCAAGAAGTAATAGCATGTGATCAAAGTTACGCGTGTGGGGTGGGGAAAACGGGCGGTCGAATGAATCTTGATAAATAAATTAGGAGGAGGATAATAGCGTCAATATACTGTCCCTCTGAGGCCTTCAGGAAATGAGGTGAGAGGAGGGGACAGAAACGGCAAGGTAGAGGAGTACGCAGACAGCGAAATAAATTTTAATCGGGAAAAGTACTGATTTGATTCCCACCGCCACGTGGTGTCGGCGTGAGTGGGTGGGATAGGGCGTCAGGCGACTTATTGTGCGATCGAGGAGGGGGAGGAAAGAGAGGGCATTGCGAATTCTACTCCCGCTCAGTTCGTGGGGTAGGCCATGGCCGACTGGGGAAGAGGCTCGATCACCTCCACATAGTTCACTGGGAAGAAGCCCTCCTTGTCCCTCAAGCGACCCTCAAACCAATTCTCGTCAACCTGCCTGATCAGTTGAATGATGTCGCCCTCTGAGAAAGCCAACTCGGTGTCGTTCTCTGCCTCAAATTGGTAAAGAGCTCGGCAACATGGACCTGAACCTGTAAAGAGATGAAGAAAATCTCCAGGAGACATGAAATTGTAAATGCACAGCAGTAATAATAATGGGGACGCGGTAGCAAGGAAAACTTAATGGTAAGATGTGCATGCAAGACAGCAAGGGGAAAAGGACATGCATAGATTAAAGTGGGTATTTAGTGGTGGAACTCGCCGCATTATCTATCTCGCGATCGAAGTGGCGCAATCACAAGTCACGAAGCGCAGCGGCTTAGTCGCAAAGTAGGTGCACAAAAATACCCAAATGGGACATTTTGACCAAAGTCTACCTCCACGCGCACACACATACGTCCTTCAAACAGAGGACTTGGCATGCAATGTTTGTTACAAATCGTTAGGCATTCACGTGCCAGACTAGCCTGTCAACCAAATAAGCCTTTCAAAAGACAACGCGTTATTGAAGGACAACGCCAATTGGCTTTTCTTTACTTATTATTCCTGGTAAGTAAAACAACCAAAAAAAGAGCCAACGACGTTAGTGCTGAGATTCGACCTGGTGACAATATCATTAATCCGTTGCTCATGATTGCTCTTGCATTCCCCGTTAAACCTAGGATTAGCTTTATGCTAAGAGGTAGTTTGGGGGGATTCAACATAACTGCTCCCATGATCGTGCACAGAATGGCAGCGCTGCCGCCATTTCTACCGACGGGGTCGGCTTTTTGCCAGCAACAACATTTTTCGCCTTGAAGAAGGCTTTTATCAGATATAAAAATTCAAGTATTAGTGACAGAAATGAAGGTTAAGTCCCGCCAGATCAACAAGAGTTTTCTCCGCTTGCACATTGGTCACTTAAGGACTGGTGCAGGTCACCTAGCTTACCTTAAGCCATTATGCAACGCCACTACGCACTGCTGCATTTCTAGGACAAGAGACAAATTTCCCCACACATAAAATCACACACACATGTGACAATTCAACAAATGAAAGGATAAGGATTAAGAAAAGACCAGTTATTTGGGAATTGTGATCTCAATCCCAGTAGTCGCTGTCAATAAAGGACCCTTTTTTGGGAAGATGAGGCGGTTTGATAGCTAGTTGACACAAATGGTAATCCGTAGTTCGTGATTGTTTTAAAATGACTCCAGGATGACACGCTTGAAAGTTTTGTAGGCCAGTTCCCAAGGAATATAAGAAAAGTCCGTATGATGAAATAATTAGTACGCACATTACCGCAGACACGCATGGAAATACCAAGACCAAGTGTGAAGTAGCACCGGGAATGTGATCCCAAGGACTAGCTTTTAACTCAGCAGAGAGATACGGAGTCACCAGTATCATCAGCACAATGCAACACGATCACGGTGAGCCAAGCACATGACTCCGTGTCTTCGAGCTAGTAAAACGAGACAATGGGTTAGATGTAACCGGGACCTTAGTCATCAATAACGCGCCATGTGCAACCAAGCTCAATCTAACGTCAAAATAAACCAATTTCAAGATTAAAAGATGGCAAAACACAAATATAATACAAGTAAAAACGGCTTTCACGAGAGTGCCAAAAGCATTGAAAGAAAGATCATGAGTGAAGCGGAAGCTTGTGAATGTTACAAAGAACAATCGGCCACCTCTTGATCTCAACAAAACAATAATGGCTGATTCAAAGGGGAGTACAAATTAATTCTGAAAAATTGCGACTCAAACAATACCAAGGAGTTCGAGAGCGCACAATCACTTCCTTGACAAGAACACCACAAGGAAAACCAGAAGACGCAAACCAGCACACAAGACCAATTAAATATCGAAGTGAATCGAGTTTGTAAAGATGTCCATAACCCTAAATCGAGACACCGAAATTAGATATTTTGAATGATATGAAAATCAGGTCCGGAAACTCGTTTATGCCATCCGGGGGCACGATATTAGGAAACTACTAGCCACTATACTAATACTGGTTCTGTCAGAAGCCTAACACTACGACGGTGTGAATATAATTTCGCATTCAGCAACGCGTACAATCAATCAATCAATCACCATATCAACTTTCGACCCTTCAAATTATTTGTACCCCGCTGAAGACTTCTTTAATACGATTGCTGCCAGGGTCCAGCCCGGAGAAAAATCAACTGCTACAGCTCAATCTGATCAGTGTGCAAAAACCAGAAAAAAATATTCTCCTTAGATCAAAAACACCCTACGGCTATTTTATGGTTTAAAACTCAACATATCTGTTTTGAGCACGATTTTCTGTAATCGCTTGTCATGATGATGAAGAATAGATCATGTACTTAAGGCAGTGGGGCTCAGGCAAGAGAATAAGCACATCGTGTATGTGTGCGATGCCGAAAGCAAACGTTAGCCACCCAACTTCTGATTATTTTAGAGAGAGCAGCCAAACATCACATCGAAATTACCATCGCTGCAACGACTCAGTTTGACGCGATCAGATGGTAGATGCGTTCGTCCCACGTTCGTGAGAAATATGGCTTTTTGGCTGCCCGAAAAGGTCTCCTAGTTCACTGGGAAGACTAACTGCACCAAGGAGAGGAAAGAATAAGAGTAGTAGGGTGAGAGAGCTATCTTCCACCTCTCGGCCGACAAACAAAGAAACACGCGAGGCGCATGTGAACCGATAGGATGCCCAGAGAACAGGGCGACAGAGCGGCCAATCAAAGGAAAGGCACTTCGAGACCAATCAGGCTACACTGCCAGCCCAGCATATGGGGGGCAAAACACGGCCACAACTCGTAGGTGGAGGCATGGATGCGTGCGCACGCAGAAGACGCGAAATTTTGAACGTACCGAGATCCCGCTACAAAAACCCCAAAGCTCACGAACGGAGACTAGCATTATAGAGGAGGCAAGACTGAGCCATTAATCACTAACTAGAACGACGACGATTAACGGGGGGTAGTGTACTGGCGTGCGTGAATTTGCAAATGTAACGTTAGGGATGGGAAATTTTATAAGCCATTTCTCTCCTCAAAACTCAACTGAAACACGTGTTGATGTAAAGCGGAGAGGTTGGTGGCAAAAGCTTTTGGGAACTATGCTTTTGTACTAATTTTTTCGAAGAATAATTCAAGGAGTTAAAAGGAAGCGCCTCCTACATAGAGGATGGTAAGTGCTTTGTTTCATAGAAGACTAAAGTAGGCAAATTCAGTTGATCAATGAAAGTGTTAATTACTTGGTCATTCCCATGGAGACCAATAACAATGAAAGTATCCAAAACCTTGGCACAGCAGTGCAAAAAACCAAAAGTTTTCATACATTTCCGTGAAAAAATTATTCGAGTCAATCAAGAATAAACCGCATTAAGCGATAGGAATTTTCATCCAAAGAACAGGGTCGCGGTGGGAATATGCCAAATAAAAGTTCCACCTTCAAGGCCCAAACTGAACACATCAACGCAAACGCATGTGTAAACAGTACAAAAGTAGTAATAATAATGTTAGCTCGTAAAATATTTTGGAAGGCGGAGCAATAGCTGAACCGATGAAGCATTTCACCACGAAAAGGAACACAAGAAACGCTAAGCATCCCGTTTAATGAACAGGGTCGTCAAGAGAGGCACACTCACGGTCAACTCGAGTGGGTAACTGGGCCGGCCAAGGGAAGGCATATCACTTGTTTGTCCTCCACTTTTACCAATCTGTGTGTACTATTTCACACCCCGTCAGTTCACCAGCCTAATTTTCTCGGACGAGAAAGTACACCACATTATTGCCCTTGGAATCGCAGCGCTTCTTATCTCAAAACGCAATCTTTTTTGGTTAGGAAAGTTGGCGTATTTTCGCATCCTCTCCCAAGCCCATGTTCGATTCACGAAAGCCCATAAAATGCAGTAGAAGTACTATCAGCGGAAAGTGCCTCAATAAAAGGCTGTTAGCACAAAGTAGACACACACACACACATCTTGGTTTACGATGCAGATTGTCAGCACAAAGGGAATTTTTGACCTTATTTCCACTGAAAAAGACATTAAAATGGTGTGGGATAGAAGAAAAATTCACGGAAAACAAGAAACTGTTGAAAAATGGATAACGAGCAGGAATGGGTGATAATAGAGAGGGGGGAAGACGAAAAAGTAGTTTGCCGTCGCAACGTGGCATGATTTTGGGATGAGCGATTACTACGACTAAAATGGGTCAAACCCCACACGAAAAAAAACAAGGATACTATTCTTTCATTCCATTTGCGATCACGATAGTACTGAGGAGATTAATAAAACCAATTCGTATGTTACGTTAGACAGAAATAAAGTTTGGAATCATCCAGCAACAAAATGGCTAAGGGGCTAAAGTGGACGACTACAATTTCCTAATTATTTATAAAGAATTGAAATACGTTGACGTGGAAGTGGAGGATGAGGGGACCGCAAGTGAGGAGGAACCAGGGCAGCAGGAGGGTATTGACAATAAAGTAATGGGAACGATGGGAGCACAGAGAAGTGATAGAAGACGGAATGCGTGAGTGAGCATGTGTATGGTGGTTGGTTGGTTGGGTGATTGGATTTTTCACATTTGACATATGTGACTCAATCGGTGGCACGTATCACATGGTGTTGTCTTGGGAAAAAAATTTCTGCATGTGGTTTCGTGGAGCTAAAAGACTCTTCACATTACTGATGCTGCATTGAGGTGTGACATTAAAGTGCGTGGAAATGTGACAATTTGGCATGTTTTCATAAGAATTCGGCAGGATTTTCTTTTTCGGCATATTATAATCTTTAATGCATTGGCGTGAAACGATTTCGGAGAATTGACGTAGCAGAAAACAGCATCAAGACCTCGGGCTACTCCACAACAAACGCTCATTACGCGAGACAAAATAAAGACGAAGTAGCCAGACGCTCTCGAAATTCATTAAGGAGGCCGAAGTGCACGCGAAATGAAATAGCAGGCACCTGCAGCTTTGCCTCAGTCGACCTTAAAATGCATAGGACGTCAACTTACCAGGGTTTATCAATGAAACAAAGTGATGGACCACATCGCTTGCAAAACAATCAAACTGACCTTTACTAGACACACCAGCATTAAGTCATTCAGCCACAATTTGGCTAACCTCCCACTTTTGTGCATTCGAGTTTCAGATTGTAATAACATTACCAAGCGCGCATTTTACAAATGAGGACTTAAGAGGAAAGCCTAGAAAACCGTTTTTTTTTTCAATGCAAAGGAATTGAATTCATGACCAAGGAAGATAGATTATGCTGTGAAAACAGGACGCTCAAACGTCGAAAAACGTTTTTTGCTTTAGGTGCCGAACAGTAGCAATTTATTGGATTAAATTCACACCACTTTTTTGAGCGCAAAGGTGGCGCATTAATACTAGCGGAACAGAAATTTCACGGCTGCCGAAAGTCACCTTGACAGTGGGGGCAAGCGATGGGAACAATTTCAATCAAACAAGACCGAGGTAAAATTGGCATAAAGAGTAGGGCGGAGCGGGAGTTCAAAGAAAAGCCTTTTACCAAGTGCACACAAGCGTAGCCTCCAGTTATTTCTACAGTTGGACTATTTAAATGTTGCCAATCCGTACTTGGTTAGCTAGAAGGACCTTGTGATAAATGTGACCATGTGAGTAAAAGCATTCTCACTTGAATAATCCCGCGTTTGTAATAGGGGTGCCTGCAATCCCAGAAAATGTTTCTGTCACGATTCCCCAGAGGTTTTCATTTTCCGAACTAGGATGCCACACTCCCCTCAATCACTCCTGGTCGAAAAATGTCACGTACAGATGTACTTTAAGTACGCTAGCAACCCCTATAGGGGTCAGGATCGGTCAATTACTACAAGTGTGGGAGGCTGGATATCACCGTCTCTCCAGCATCCTTCATTTTCCAGCCACATGTCGCGTACGCACGGGTCTACCCACACCCACCGAGAGATGAATACACCTGTATCGAATTCCTTGTCTAGTAATTTCGCGGGTTGGGAGCCCGACGGAATTCAAGCTCACGCACATAGTTTAACAGTGTGTTGACCGAAGAAGGGGAACAGGCGTACTCGTGCCTTTATTGTGCGTTTTTACTACGCGGGTTTACCAGCATCCGTAGTCTCGGTTTCCCCTTCATTGTATGACTATTTCGGCATGCCCATAGTCTCTCGCCGGCCTTCCATACATTATAACAGTAAACTATTCTTCGATATGATTGTACCTTATTACGGCTTCAAGGGAGACTCTGCACGCCACAATAACTGCGTTGTGGCATCTAACTACTATGACCTCGATCAAAATAAGTTTTCTGCTTCGATGATAACTCCACTCAGTAGGAAGGTAATGAGCACCAAAGTAATGACTAATAAAAATAATAATTGAATCAAGCCGTGATTGTAACGTTACAATGGTGCAAGATAGCTAAATCACACGCATAATTGTAGATGCGCACAAAGAAACAATCAATCCAAGCAGTACACCACTGCGGAATCTCAAAACTGCCAAAGTGTCTTGAACATGTTGACACGAAATCGGGTACGAAAAAATAGTTGTTAAATTAAGTACACTAATGAAATGAAAAGCTTGAACTCATTCGACGCAATCCGAAGTGGTGAAAGGTATCCATTACGGAAATAAAGTGGCTCTTGATAAGGAGATAAAAAGGCCGTCACTACAGTAGCCACTGTCGTGCCAATTATCATAAAGCCGTTTCACACACACGAATATACACGCAGCCGCGGACACTAAACCACCTCCATTAGGCGAACTTTTCTAGAGGGAGGGTAAAAAAATAGGACTTATGTGACATGACCACCACGAAAATTGAGTGAAAACGCGAGTTTGCACATATAATTACTTGCTGAGGAGATGGTTATGAAAGGCAACGGAACGAATAGTGACAGCCATAACGCACGCATTGAACATTAAAATAATGTAAGTAAATCCCTATTCTCTTCATTTCAATAGTGGTATAGGACCTTGCTCCTAGCCGTTCTGTAGGCATGTGATAAACCTACCTCCTCAAGGGTAGCCCACCAGATATTCAAGAATGTGGTTGCTACCAGCTAAAATCAATCAGTCGCCAATACCTAAAAACTGATTAAGCAGACATCTGAATTTCAAGGTTTGCGGAAATAAAACACTCTAGATGCACCATACAAAGGGATTCGTCACAAATGATAGCTAGTAGCATAAAACTGTTGAACAGCGACATTTATTTTAACCATACGTAGGGCTACATGAACTTCCTCAGTCTTCCAAGATTTAGCCCCATATCAGTGGCACAAATACCTGCCCATCCATTGCGTGGGCTTTAATGACGACTCTCGTCCTTATAATGTTCCGTAGCATCTTCAGGAGGTAACTCCAATGCCACAATGGAGTGTAAATACTCTTATTGGCTTTTCTCTATTCTGTTTCATTGAAATTTCTTGCATCAGTCCTCCGACAACCCGTGGAGAATCAAGGCAAAATGTTTTAAAATTCCACCTAAAGACTTAGTGAGGGCTACTACATTAAAGTAAACAGGTGCTTGGACGGTCTTAGAAAACATATGTACCTATTTCGTAGGGTCGAGATGAGAAATGGAATTAACATAGAGTGCAGAAGGCCCCACTTAACAGATCAAGGTGTCACCAACTCCAACAAATATCCCAAAAGAAGGCATAAGCATCCAGTCAGATTTCTGTGGTGGTGGATCGAAACCGGATGCATTAAAGCGCTCTGCGATTTCACAGAAAACTAATTACAAACGCAAATGCCTATGTTTGGGTGGTGATTATGGATCCTATCCATTTACTTTTTAATAATGTGTACGGGCACAAAACACCGAAAGGAGCAAAAGAACAAAGAGAAGGTGAGGCGTGAAGAGTTATCGCGTGAACAACAAAAGTCCACAAAGGCGGAACAAGGGCAAACAAGTCATGACAACGACATGGATTGACGAAAAAGATATCATTCAGCAACTATTTTTATCCAAGCTGTTAATGTCTGCCTACTTATTGTAGTGGTGAAAAGATAACGCACCCCATTGTGGAGGCAAATATATATCCACACACAAAGAACTTTAAAACACAAACACATTTGACAAACCTGGTGAAATTTCCTTATTTCGCATAAACAGCACAGATGTGTGCGGTTCGTAGAGGGTCCCGAGGGACTCGGAACTCGACAAACACATGAGCAAGGCTCATTGTAAAAAAGTTAAGGGATATGTTCGCGCTCCATCAAGAGTGCCATACTTTAAATTTTCAGGGATGAGGAGAGTCTTCAATTAGGAGTCCTGTTACTTTCAAAACAACGCCAGATCTCTAAAAACCTTCAATGTCTAATGGATCCCATCCCAATGATACGAACCTGATAGAGGTTATAAGTGGTTTGAAGAAAGTTGTGAATGTATGTATTGTATGGGAAGCCTGCCTAGCTAAAACACTTCATGTTAGAGGATGAGGAGGGCTCCTACACACAACTAGGCATGTTCTCGGAGGTTGGATACCAACTTCACCTCACGCAGAAAGGAGTAATAAATTAAAAACAGTGACAATAATTCAACATTCTGGGGGCCAGAAATGCGGAAACATTAAATTTGTGTGGCTGACAGGGTTAGCAAACTAAAAACCTGCTATTTCAGTTGAAACGCAGACTTGCCAGTGCAAATCGCATATTTTAAGTGTCCAGCCGTCTATAAATAGTCCAGATCACTGCACCCTTCCTGTTACTGCTGCTGCCGTTGCTGTTGTTGGTCCTCTTCCTACTATTCAGGCCTGTGCACAGCCAATCACAAACTACGTATACTTTGGTCAGCCACTCCTCTATAACGGACGGAAATAAGACGCATAGGGGACAAATGCACCCGCGAGACTTGAAAACCCAGTGTGGCATTTCCCGCTCTTTCGCAATGATCTTGAAAGAGGAAATGAGAGATGGGACACCTCAATCCTAACCTTCTTCCACTCTTTCACCTTCTTGCCGAGGGTCACAGCAGACGATTACGGGGGAGGGTAAATACACGCACAAAGTCTGGGTAAAGAGTAATAGAGCCGTGCATATGAGTGCGTGAGTATTTATCAATATGGCGTCAAACACTGAGGATGCATGAGAGTGGGAAAGCGGGTAGAGAGAGAGAAAGAACTGACCTCCATCACCAGCAGGTGACTTGTTTGGTGTTCTTGGTGAGCTCATCGATCCATTTTTGGTGCTGACTTCCCCGCTGAGGGTTCTGGTGATCTGCAGCGGCTTCGGGTTGTGTGTCTGCTTTCCGCGCGACTGTGCCTCATCCTTCCTGCAATGCAATGCACGAACCGCGGTGGAATTGTTCAAAAGAAAGACGTCACTCCTGTTGCCAATGACTCCTCAGAGCTTTTATTTCACTTTAAATAACCGATAATAATGTCATACTGTTGCAAGAGGTTTTGACTAGGGAAACAACCCTCGTTTTTTTTTATTAGTTAGTGAATCCAAAGCCAAAGAGCGCTACTAATTCTAACCCAAACACACGTTTTACTGAAAAACTCGGCACTCACATAATACCTCATGCTCATCAGGGTTATTTAACATATGATTACCATGTGCTTTCAGTGGGTTTACGCAAATCATGAAATATTATTGAACAGCTTTACAACTACATGGATGCAAAATTAAATTGTTAAAGATTTTGGTTGAATAAGCAATAGTTTGTAAGCCCTCTCTATTTAGCAGGCGGTGAAAACGTTTAACCCAGTACCAAATTGCTGAATTGCATTTGGAATAACCGGACCACCATAGCAGAGCGATATATTAAGAGGACTAAAGTGCACACTACAGGACGAAATACACCAAACCTCCAGCGGATAGTGGATTCAGGGCAAGGGTAAATGGTAAGCACCTATTGCTAATTAGAGTTAATTTGTACAGCATTAAATTTTGTACCTAAAGTTAGCAATATTTAGAGTGTATAACTATGCCCTGCATTGGCACTTCGATTTGGCAAACGTTTCAAGTTCTCCATAAAAATCACAAAGAAGTGTCACCTGACACTTTCCTCTTCCAAAAAGCAAAACAACAATCACTGAATAATGTGATTACGAAATGTGCCGTCAGTTCTAACTAGTGTAATTTTACTGATTGAATTAGCCAGAGGTAAAACAGGAAGTGCAGATTTCAAGTGTGTTTCTTTGTTCATGCAGATGTTGTTTGGAACTCAGATTACATGACTTAGTTTAGACTTTCTTTCAATGCGAACAGTTGAATCCAACTAGTTGCGCATCTGCGCAGCCCAGAACAATGCAGGCAAAAGCGGAGATGACCACTTCACCTACAGCCTAGATTTAGCTAGTATTTTCTAGTAATTAGGTTTAAGAAACAGTATGCAAGTAAACCAGATCGACAACCAATTCACCAACAGGGAAAACTTTGGGATCGTGCATTGTGCCATGACGTCTAAACCAATTAACATCTTCGTTGCCAGAAGCTCAGAGAGTCCAACTTTTAACAGCGTTAACATAACACCAATTGGCTTCGGTCTTATCGTCCAATTCAACTACCGCGAAAAAAAGAGTAATTTCCTCTAGACCAAGATCATCCCTATATTTATTATACTAGTTAAAATCAGCCAATCTATTTCTACCACGATTTGAAGCAACTAGGCACCGTAAGCCGATAGAGAAAACAAGTCGTGGTTGCAACGACGTCAGTTTCAGATAAGAAAACTGTGCCGTCACATATATGTAAGGTGAGGAGCGAACACATAAAATATAATAAAATAAGTAAACGAGGAAAATTGAAGTAGATTAAATAGACTAAGGCTAAGCAATTGCCATGCCACCAGGATGTATGTTAATTGCATTTTCACCACCGCTACATACTAGTGGAGTAGTGCTTTTTTGGGTAAGGTGAGAAATCGCACAATCGCAACATACGAAATGAAGTCAGTTGGATTAAGCGTGGTAATAAACTAGTTGATTGATGTCTCTCACTTAGAATGAACAACTAAGCGCTAAATTCTTTGCCAATTTCTAATATCTTTAAATAAAGCAAATAAATTTGGTTAAAACGTAAAAGTGACCCAATGCTTCATCGTAATGTCTCACCTGGTCCGAGTGTGAACTTAAAAGGAGCCCCGGGATGAGAACAGCTACATATTATATTCTATACTATATTATAGCTGGACAATTACTGTCACTCACGAGGGCACTTGAAAAGATGAAGTAGAGTATCCATAAGCCGAAAATACACAGCTAAACGGACAAAGCTGTGAAAAAAAAGGCGAGAAAGCGCTTACAGTGATGCAACACCTAGATTTGCGGTTAAAACATTGGTCCAAGCCTCGCATCTGTGCACGCATCAACCATACTGATCTATTAAACTATGAGGCACCCTCAAGGCAACGTCCCTGCAAACTATATGCCATTTCAAGCGAAGAGTTCACATCCCAAATTGATATGGCCTGGTTTCAGAAGTACGGAGTAAATGCAAACGCTTATCTGAGCCACGGCCCCATGGCTAGTTACAATGCCGGAAGCGAATCAACGAATTTCTCACCCTCTTGCTGTTGAGTAGACTGCACGAGGATTGGGATACTGAGTGAGAAAGACCCGGAGTGTTCCAACAACAGTGGGACAACGAATGGGAAGGACGGTAATGGATAGTCTGGAAAATGGATGCTACAGCATTCTTTACGCTCCGATGAAATTCATTCTTTGAAAAATAAGGATATGCTCTCACACAAAGTAAGGTAGCATAGCATACTATTAGACAGGCAACTGGAACCGCTTGCGAAGCTCAAACTGAGAAACGCGTACATCTAGAGGTTGTTTTATGGAAACTTGTAGAAGATGTAAACCGATGTTTACCTGAGAACCACATTTCATGTTTTATGCGATGGCTATCACAACGGCAAATGCACATATGCACACAAAGAGGATAAATTTGAATTTCATGGTAGGAAAGAATAAAGATCTGTCTGAAGGTGACAGAACTGTGGATCTAATTCCGGCATAGCGAGACAAAAGCCCCCTTGAAATGGTAATGCGGAGCGATAAGATGGCTGTAAAGCTTGTGGCATAACAACCAAAACAAAGGGAACAGCACAATGAGATGTAGAGGAATGCCCCAATTGGGGAAACTAACATATCTAAAGTAGCAACGATCGGTTAAGCCTGAACAGCAGTGAGAAGTTTTCAGAAAACATTCCAGTACATATCTCCACCGATTCTCCCATTCCACGAAAAACTTGGAGGGAAGAGAGAGCACATTCAGCCACTAAATAATTCACCATGAAAAGATTTCAAAGTGGGAGCATTGCAGCCTTCACTACAGGTTTTATGGAACACTAAAAGACATAATGGAAAGAAAAGCTGACAAAAGTGACACTTTCCGACAAACTTCTTCCCTTAAAAAAGACGCAGGGAGGGGTTCGCCAACCACAACAAAACCAGAATTCGTTTCTCTAAAAATGGATGCGTTTATGCAGGAGAAAATACTGCCTTTAGTAAATCATAACCCAGCTCCCAGTTTTCCTGGTAAGACGGTGTAAGTACAAAGGTCAAAGGGAGCCTGTTTCAAGTCACCAAAACGGAGTCCAAACACACCCTTTTTTACTGCTCCAATTGAATAACCACGAATTCTATCCTATCAAAAAAGCGTTTCTTTTTTTCTTTTCAAATGTAAAACGATTCAATGGAGACACCTGTTTAACCGATGGATGGCTGATAAACGGCGGAATTTTTTGCTAATATAAAGCTTCGTATTAGACACTATCTTTTTCGCCTCAAAATTCGAGAAATCACATCAATCAAAATAACTGTTTTAACACCTCTCAGAGCAACACGGGAAAATCCCAATCACCCGAGGCTATTAGCCGAAAAAAACGTTACAAGCACAAAAACAAAAAAACCGGGAAAGAAAATCAGAGGAGCGGCAGAAATCAAAAGTGGAATGGGAATTTTATCGCCATGAAAAAAAGGTGCATAGAAAAAATTAAGTCGACAATCAGAAAAAATCGAAAAGGGCAGGACTCACTTCTCAAGGAGCACCTTGTGCAAGTTCTCCATTATTTCGGAGGCATGACGATAGTAGCTGGCCTGTGCATCCACAAACTCTGCCAAAGCGCTGATGTGCTCGAACTGGAAGAGGAGAATATGAAAGACCAATAAGTGCTCCTTTTATTTGAGGGGTCACATTCGCTCAATGCTAATGGAATGCGACCCCAATTTCTTCGCAAGAGGTATACAGTAGAACAGCCGAGGCATGAAATAAGGTTAGCATATTGATAAGTCTGTAATCACGGGACGGTGCAATTAGCCAAAGTACTAGCTCAGAATATTAATGACCTGGCAGCTTGCTTGTACTGGTAGTAAAGAGTATTACAAGGTGAGAAGGGGACACTTCCCACAACTTGCAAGACCAGTTCGATAACTACAAGATAGCAGATTCTTCAGCGCCATTCGGCTTCATTGGTGAAAACACATGCCAGAACATAACTTAGGCAACCGATCAACCTGCTGGGTGATCTGTCGAAATGACTGCTCCTGTATCCAGTCCATAGACCAACGGGAATGGAGGGGCTGGTGACTTACTCATGGTTTTGAGAATATGTATATGAGACAACGTGGAAAATTGAGAATTACGGACATGAACCTGCTGACGTAACGACTTTTGATCCAAGCAATTGGGCAAAGTAGCACTTCATACGTAAGTAGACACAAGCTCTAAATTAGACGGAAACGGATAACACTCCTGCCTCTAGTCCTCAAACCAAGCGCAATGTGAGAACTTAAGTAAGGGAGGAGGCATGTGAAAATAAATAGAGAGCAAATAAAAGCGCCTCGCCACCGACCAAACAGCTATGCACGATGGAAGCGACGGAAAATAAAGCCAGGAGGACCATTGATTCGATGCAGTTCCAGGCGTAAATGAAATTTCCTTTGCAGTGCGATGTCAGAGGACGCGTTAGCAGCGGAGCGCATATTTAGCTGACAGTACCCTGTCTTCCCTCCTCTTGCACCTTGGTCTAGTTTTCCACAAACAGCATGAATTCACTCTCAACTTTCAATTGTGACTTGAAAAATTAAGCAGCTTACGATTTCTTGTCTCAGTGATAACTACTAACAAACCTTTCAAATTTACACCGGAGACACAAACAGGGGTGTGTGACACAAATGTCAGTACCTGATATTTAAAACTAATAGCCTCTCCCTGCATTTTTTTCTCTAAAATAAGTATCACAAGGGAATCAAAAGTAATCTGGATATGATTTATAAAAGGGACTAGCATAAAAACGAGAACTTAGACGACACAAACAAACAGATATTGGAGTTCCCTTTTTACCCTCCCATCAGCTTACATCGGTGACCCCATTGCACTCAAAAGCACAACTTGTATGAAGCAGGAGGTCAAGCAAATGGAGAATCTAACAAAACACGAGACTCTGCACACCTATTAATGCCTGTATTCGCACGCACGCACCAGAATCGAGTGAAAGTGCTCGATTTTGCCGGCTTTACCAAATTGTCCCCCACGCTTCGTGGAGCATTAAACTGAATGAAATGGTGCCGCTACAGTCGTTGTCTCGAAGTACAGAGAAAACGAAATCACGCTGTCCAGCAGGGAATTTCGCATAACCCTTGGGTAATGTCTTAACACAACCGATTATGTCATTCACAGACAAGTTATGCTCACTAAATAATACCGTCTGAACTGGAATCAATTCATGATAAGTAAAATGCTCCATCAACAATTAACAATCAAATCTGACATTCCTACGCATAAATGCGAGTGACAATAGACTGAAAGCAGGTTCAAAGAAAGGAAGACTCACATCAGAAGCCAGGAAGTTGGCCATGGCCGTCTCAGCAAGAACCTTCGACTCCTGGAACTTTTCCTCCGCAACCTTTATCTCAGCTTCCAGCACCTTGGCAGCCTGGGGGTCTGAAATGAGAAAAACAAAGGAAAGAAAACAAGCTACCATTATGGGGCGTTAGGGTCGCGTGCGCGCACAGGGAAGGGCGATAAGGAGCTAGGTAGAGGGGTAAAACTTAGTGGGATGAGAGCTGAAGACATCGGGGAAGACTAAAAACAGAGGTGAAAGGAGCAAGTGTGAGCGATTGCAGTGGCCAGTAACAGTTAGACCACATACTTTTGAGTATGTCTGGAATATTGACGAAATGGAAAGAAAAAAGGGCATCAAAATGTCGAGTAGGCACTACTCTAAAATCAAACGCCTCTACATCCATCAAATAGCCATCCACTCATTAGTAATTTAAAAGCTAAGATACGAAGTAGTAACCTAACCACTTTTTTAGGGAATGGTATCGAGTCATTTGCACAGAATGATGACTGCACAAGTACACGCATGAAAAAAGGCACAGATAAGTGTGTTTACATATTAGAGTAGCGATAGACACGAAATCCTTGTGTGACTCATAAGCGAAAGAACGAAACATGGAGGCTGGGCTGACAAAGATATCTATATGCTCACACAAAAGTACGAGGAAGGGTTGGTACCAACCAAAGAACCGAAACGTATGAAAGTGGGTCGCCTAATAACAAGTAGAAAAGTGATTAAAATACGAAACCAGTACACTAACGAACATGTTAAACGTACCAGCGTACTTAGCCCCTTGGTAATAGGAAGTAATTGCCGAAAAAATTTCCATTAAAAGGAATAAAATGAGTGGTCCGAAGCATCTTAAAGTTACCGCCTAAATCCATTTTACAGCAGTATCATAAATCCAACGTAAATAGGACCAAAAGTGTTTACGACACAGCCTTCAAGCGCAGTCAAAAGATTACAGCACACACGTGCAAGTGCACATCCAAGCAGCATGATGATAAGATCTGGAAAACAGGAGAGTTTGTCTCAGTCTGCCGGACAGAAAGATTGTAAGACATACTTCGTTTCAAACAAAGCGAGAAGTTATCACGTTTCTTACCAGCCTTATTTCAGTAATAGTATCATCAAAAAGGCATAGATTCGCAAATTTTGACTGAATATTAGAACATGTATCGACTTCGAAACCACTCACTGCTCTCCTTTTTTCGTTTCTTGCAATCGAAATCCAGACGACGTCCCTCCAACTTCTTACGATGGAACTAGGCAAACCAATTAACACATCAGCCACAAAGATCTTCGCATTAACCCAAAAGAACACTACAGGGAGAGAAACCTACATTGATCTCCTTGAGTTCAACGGACTGAATGCCACGAAGCGGTTCAATGTACTCCCGTTTCACCTGATCCTCCATGTTGTATTTGATATCCTCCATATTCTTGAAAGCATATCCTGTCTGGATGAGGCATTCACCTTAGGTAAGGGAAGAACATAAACTGAAAAAATATCACACCATTTACAAAAACCACGATACAAACATTTCAAATTAAGAGCTACACATGAGAAGGAACGTGGAACTCATACCGAAGAGAGAGTCATGGTCCAACTCATTTCCATATTTCAGCATGCAATCCCCAAGTTGACCTTCGGGCTGTGGGTAGGGAGGCGCCTTCCCTTTGCCTTGAATTTTGTTAAAGGTATTTAATGTAGCGAGTTTAGCTCGTGTCGCTGGATTAGGCTGTAGATACTCATGAGTTTTGGTAATTATTTCCTCAATAAGTTTCGACATAGCATCAATTTGCTGTGAAAGATTAATTAAGACAAAATATGCACCTTTTCACAGTGAATGTACTCCTCATCTAGCTTAGTGCCCTCAGCACCACCAATTTTCTCGGACATAAACTGGGAGGAGAGTTAGATTAGATAAGTTTTTCTACCTGATTCGCTTTGTTTATCTGTTTACGCAAACCGGTGAACGACATCCTCCCGAATCGAAAACAAGCAAGGACAGGACTAAGCAGGCCGCCTCAGATGACGAAGATAGCCGACGAATTAAAACAAATCTAGCATTATAGTGCAAAATTTAAGTTTATGATAGTTTGAAATATCTTTAGACGGTTTGCTAAAGACATTTTGTTATTTTAAAATTATTTTTGGATTTTGCAATACGACAAAGCGCATGTCGCAAAACACTGTTTCACAACTGCTAGTAATGAAAAATATATCCTGTCTTTCATCTTCCGTTTATACCATGCTTAAGTCCAGTTTATCTCATTAGTCAACTGACCCAACACTTGTGCATTTTTCATCGGTGGTCCTAATTTTTATAAGGAAGATATGGGCGAATCAGCGCAAATCATAGATGCACTACAATTTCTTATGTTCAAAAAGTGATTTAAGTGCGTTTTACGTCTTACCTTTACTGTTCCTAATTTTTTATCTTTTTAGCTTATTTTTGGCTTCAAATTCCTTAGTAGATGAGACTGATTTTCTGAGGCATTCCTGAAATCGGAACGCACGAAAGTACCGTGGAACTAACGTTAATTACCAACGTGCATACGAGTTAGAAGGCTACTACGTAGCGTCCCGAGACTCCCTGAAGGCGAAAGAAGACACAATGCTCGGGCAGAATATATACATATTCAGCACGCAGAAGGTGTCTGGGCTATTGTCATGGCCCAAAAGGCCAGCCCACTTAGGTAGGTACAAGGGGGCTAATTCAAAGTACAAAAGTGGCGCCTCACCAATACTAAGGGACAAACCACTATCGCATTATAACTAGCATGTTTTGAATGCCACGTTTCATAGCAAAGGGAACGGCCTACAAAGACCTAAGTACTCGCGCAGGCCGACGCACCGCCAGACAAAATATGGAATCACTATCGCAATGGAGTTGTTTATTACTTTGTTTAGCTGAGTCTAGCATCACGCCGCCTGGTCTCTGAACCACGCTGTGCATTGCTAACACATCTTCCATGCCACGATGTGTTGCGGCTTCAGTGGGGCTCGGCTAACTATGGAATCATTAGGTAGTTCCTTACTGATTTAATTCAAATAATACTGGTGTCATTAGTTGTTCACTAATCTCGTTTTATGAAAGCCATTACATCACATAGGATTATCATCTTGTCTACTCATCAATGCAAATACCCTAAGATTAAATTCCATGCTAATTTTGTCTGTAGTAATGTAAGTAGTCCACTATTTTTTCTCAACTTTCATAATTTGTGCTCTTTTAAAGCGACTGAAGAATGGGACTAATTCTTGTACATAATTGAGACTCATGAGTTTCAAAGCTGTCTCGGAGCTGGATAAGTAGTGCATTTAATCGTACTTGAAATTTTATACAAAGTAATGAAAAATCGTTGGTGGATTTTTCTGTAAATAGCAGTTTGCATTTACATGTTCATGAGTTCAGTGATGTTTTCTGGTGTGCACATGTGACCTATGCCAGCTAGCAACCTCAAATATTCCCTGAAGTAAGTGTATGACCACATAAAATTTGGTCGAAGTGTGGAGTTACTTTTTGGCTTAACAAAATCTCCAGGAATGTCAATTAGTAGAGTTATTGAAGATCTAAGCATGTACAGGCATAAAACGTTGCAGGCGTCTCTAAGGTGGTTTACGGTATGGAAAAATACTTATACCTCATGGGCCTAATTAAGTTGTTTCATTTTGAAATCATTTATAGTAATTAGCAAAATTCCATGAAAAATTCCTTTGACGCCAGTGTTTAATTCTGCATTTTAACATTTGGAATCTGCAGCCAGGCGCCATTGAGTAGTTTCGACTGAGGAATAGTACTGTAAGGCTCCTAGTCCTTCCTGAAAACAAGAAAAGTCTAGGGCAGAAAATGTATGCCTGATACACAAAAGAGCTGGGGTACCATTACCATGGCCTGGAGGCCATGCCGCTCATCAAGAGTACGAAGGCTTAGCTTTAAGTGTCCTTGAAACCATAACGAAGAGCGCCTTTCTCACCACTCCCCTTGTTCAATCTTCGCCGTTGACAATCACAAATTAATCAGTGCGTGAGAGATATTCGAATCCAAAGTCACTGATACATCTTGCCAACCTCATCGGATCTGGATTTTAGACCTGTTTGGGAATTGAGTTGGGGAAAGGGGAAATTCCCATGCCGACATTTGTGTCCATAGCTAGTCATAGGAACATTGGCTTGTGAAATAGTTTTGTAGGGATCCGTATTAACGTCAATTCCTTATTACTGCGTTGTTCTTACTTTATTGCTGCCCAGACATTTCTCTCTGGGTTCTATCCAGCTGCTAGAAAGGTATTGTTTGTTCACTTAACTAATGTCTTCATACAGATACGGCAGACAGACTCGCAAAGAACTTTTTAAAATATTTCAGTGCATTTCTGCAGAGCACAGAACTGGGGTATTTGCCAAAGATAGATTTCATTTTAAAGCCTCCTCTTGGAGGCCGTTTCAGATTCATCTATCCGCAGCATACGTCTTTCTTCCATCCTGTTAAAGTCTAACATTCAGTAATAGAAATCAATGTGGCTGTTCTTTAGGGTCGGATTTGCATTCCATTGCCAGCATTGTAGCGTCCCGAATCTTTCCTGAATACGAAAGAAGACAATACCGGGGTAAGGTATGAAATTCGGTCGTACAGAAGGGTTGGAGACGCTACTGGCGTGGCTTATAGGACATGCCGCACAGCAGAAGTACAAAGAAGGAGGCTTGAGTGCACTCGAAACCAAGACGAAGAGTCAAACTGATAACAAAAATTATCTAGCTTAAAATGTTGGAAGCACGTGAGGCGCGATAAGTGATGTAAAGCAGATATGGAGAAGTAAGTATTGCATCACACTGTTTGGTTTTGCAACGCTCAACGATTTACTCGGCTTTGTTTTTGCTCGGCTTAATTTCTACTATACAAATACATAAATGTCATCCATTGGTAATGGTTTTTTGACATATCTTTTCACAAGCTCACTAAAATCATAGTACTAACATTCTTCTTTATCATCTGATTTCAAGCAGAAAGATATCTTTAAACTTGCTTTAGAAAACTGGGACCTGTGCAATACGTGCCGGTTTGAACCAAACCCCTAAGTTACAGGCGGTCAATTTACACTAACTACGCAAACGAACGGATATTGCATCTGATAACATGTAAAAATTTACTGCACTTTCCAAGTCAAGATGTCTTCCTCTACCCTATCTTCTCATTTCAAGGATGTGAAGCCAATGGCGGAAGGGAGAAACGTAGAAACTGTTACGTCTGCCTTTGTCTAAGCGTACAAGCGCGTTAAGTCTCACGGTCCAAAAGTCATCGTAGTGTTGTTGCAGCCCGTTTATACTTAGATCCCCTACCCCTTCTGCAACTAAAGATATTCATTTTCATGTACTCCCTGAAATGTCTGATACGGCTAGAACTTCCTTATTGAAACAATGGGGGAAGACCTGGGGTAAACAAATAAGTTGCTATAATTTTACAAGCCCGATTCTAAATAAATGGTGTGCTAAATCTAGTGCCTTTCTCATTCAATGCTTTAGAGCTTTTGAAGACATTTGAAAAGGCATATTATTCCGCGATTCCAACCATGTTTTCCGGGAAGTCTATTGTGGGGAGCTCCTAAGCTTCAGAGCATTTTGCCATCTAGGTTTCAGTCTTCTCGTTCTTTCAAAGGATGCAATGCTTTTACTTCGGCTAGATTCAGGGAGAATAGCGATTTGGCTGCTCTGACAATCAGCCAACTCGTGAGGACGCCAGCAAGCCTCACGATGACATATTAAAAGTTGTGGATTTGCTAGGCCATTCACTTTAAAAAATTAGACCGATCTGTGCATAACTAATTTCACATGTTTGATTAATTTGACTAGCTTTTTGTTCAAGAGATCTCGGTGTAATAAGCCAAGTAGTATTTACGTAAATAACACTATCATTATGAAAACCTTGCTCACTGACCCAACTATATTTTGTGAACATTGTTTCATGCTCATTTTTCGGTGGCTCCCGGATCATTTAGGTCTAAAGTGGGTCGCACTTAATAATAATTCTTATTTTCGAGTTATTACGTTTATTCTTACTGCGCAACTTCTTGCATCGTTAGTGCATGTCAAAAAAATTGGCCAAAAGCGCAATTTAGCGAGCCGCAGTATACAATTATTTACTCCTCCAGACAGACATTTTCACACAAATAAATTACCCCATTTTTGGTGCGTATGCTCCTCCAAATCATTAAACAGACACCATCGTATAACATACTTTGAGGTAGCTAATCAAGATGTGAATCGCAGAAGACTTATGTCTCAAGCTTCATTTCCATAGAGCATGGTTTATGGACAGTTGGTCAGAGATTGCTTAGTTCTGACCAGTGCCTACATTCCTCTCATTTTAGCTCTGGTTTGTTAATGCGTGCCTCACTTATACGTAGACGTTATTTCATTAAAAATCGCCACAATTTGAAAGCGTAAATGGTTAAGAAGAAATAATGTAAGTAAAAACTATTAAAGATGGCAGGGACCTTGCAATACTTCTTTATAGCATATTTTTGTATATGGCTGCTTAGGTATTTTGGGTCACCTGAGATCCGACTTTCACACTGGTTGTATGGGGCCCCATCCAACTCATCAATGATTCTGGGTCCTGTAGCCCCTCCGCGAGAGTTCATTAAGAGGTACTTCCAGACCTATGTACCTTATGAAATCCTGGCGGGTAAATTGAGAGCTACGATAGGGTCTTTACAATTCTACTGCTCCACTACCCAAATATCAGTCTCGGAAGCTATTATTAACCCTATGTTTTGTCAATCCACTTGCCCGAAAAGCTATCTTTAAGGTACTAATTTGATGTTTTAGACGGAGGAGGTTTACTTTAACTAAGCATTCAACTTCTAGAGCCTCTTGATTTAGCCGACACACCTACCTTCACACAAGTTGCACGGGGCTCCGCACACTTATACCGTATTTTCTGCACTAAAAGATCCACATGTGCCTTCCTGGTTAAAAGAAGCTGTGCAAGAGAAAGAGGTTAACCCAATTTTAACCTGATCTCATCACTTTGCTATGCTATCAGCATTGGATAATCTTCTTAAGACACTCCAAAGCATAAAATTTGTAGCAATTTCTGAAGCCTTGAAAGCTCAAGACATGGGATGCACCTTTGGGGGCGTAACGCTGTAAACCGTATGCTCATGTGGCTGTAGCGACTTGAGACTTCACTGAGAAAAAAGGAAGACATAATACTCAGGCAGAATGTATATTATCGAAGTACAGAAGGGAGAGGGGACTATTGAAATGACACTGGACGCTAGGCCACCCGGTGGATGTTCAGTGGCGGAGACCTAAGTGTCCGTGTAACCAAAAAGACGGGTTAAACAAACCATCAGAGCATTACACTGCCATCAATTGAGAGTGAATTTCCTAACTGCTTCAACTCCCACCCAAAGACTGGAAAGCAGCGGTTATCTTTAGACCAAGAACATCGACCATTCATTTTGCTGGTATAAACTCAATCAATGCATTTGTGGCACTTGATTTCTTGCAGGTATTACCTTTCACCTGACAAAGAATGCGTATCATGCCAATGCGGCCTTTCTATCCACCCACATAAACAAGCGTGGCCTCAAACTTGAACAGCAGACAATTGGGTACGTAGCAAGGCGCTATTTTCCGGCAAGAAGTCAGATGGAGGTCAAAATCTTTCCCAAAAGGTCGTGAAATTGATCCATTGAAAAAAGATCATGGGTTTGGGAAAAAAATTTTAAGTATGTTTCCAGACGATATATCATCGTGTTAATATCAAAACGGGATTAGCAGTTTATAGGAGAGGTAAAACGATAAATTTCAGGTCCTGCAATCTGCATTTATTTCTCGACACTGTCAACTACAGGATTTATAAACCTATGCCAACTAGCAACTCCTTTTGGAGGACAATTGACATGGAAGCGATTGTTACTGTGGTTGAGCCACCCAAGAACAGCGTAGTCCATCGTCTCGAAATTGCCAAATTTCGTATTCGACTGTGGTACTGGATGCGGGTGTGCCTCCCTCCGTGCAGTCTCTTCACACAACCACTTAAGCATCGGTCAGGCATTATTCCACTCTCTCGCTTCGGAGGAATGACCGCGAGGCACTGTGGGCTGGAATCTACCATGATAGAGACCTTCACGCACGTACGACCGCCATTCGTGTGTCTCACTGCTAGGGTAGTGAGTTCCCCATCACACTATTGCGCGCAGTCTTCCATAGACATTCACAGATTGTACACCCTTGTTTATAAGAAGCTTCATCACCACATTCCGCTCTGTGCAAGCACCACCACCGAATAGTGAAAGAGCAGCCTTGCTGCCTCCTTCACGTGCAGTAATACGTCGGTTGTTTAACTCTCGGTTTTGGTAAAGGGACTATTGTACAGCCGCCGGGTGGGTTAACCTCTGGAGCATGCCAGTAGCCCCCCAACACTTCTGTAGATCGACAATACATATCCCAAAGCAGCATTATACCTTCATTCGTCTTCTGGGAAGTCTCGGATCGCTACAATAGCATCTCCTCTCACGGTGTCTGTAAATATAAGTCCCGACTTGACTTAAACACCCTGAGTATGTAGGACTTAGAAAAGCCGTCTTCCTGCCAGGTTAAAGACCAATTAGAAACAGAACAATCTTCATAGATCGGACACCATGGAGGTCTCTGTGTCCTCCTACTTTACTAACATGAATGACACTTTGAAGGAATCCAGATTACACTTAGTGTCAATTACCGCAAAATTGCACCTTTCCTAGTAGGAGGCCACATATCGGAGATCGAAGTGAAAACACCACTGCTAGCAGCGTCTCAACAACCTTGCCTTCTGACTCTGCAAGCAAAGGGACCGGAAGGTCAAATTCATCCAAATATGACCTTAACGCGGAGAAGTGTGTAAGATGAAAGTTTGCTTCATTTCTTCACTTCCAGCATAATACATTGTAAAAAGGAATGGCTATTCACACACGAGAGGGGCTGAAAAAAAGGAAGGAAGCGAGGGGAGATGAGACAGAGGGGGATAGGTTTGGGGGATATGACTACCCCATTGTGGCAAAATGAAATAGGAGCCGAGGGAGTGAGTAAGGTGAGCTGAGTCAGATGAGTGAGCGGTCTTTAAAACAGACGCTTTTTGCGTCGTTGATTATTCACATAACACATGCGCCCGATCAGGCAGAGGGAAAGGAAAAAGAGGCCGACGAAAATGTAGAAGAAGATGTTCCAGAGTGAGCTTTGTGGGACATCCGGAACATGCGCTAGAGTAGAGATCGGATATGATCAAAAGGCAGTTTGAAACCGACGGTCCCCCCCCCCCCCACCGCCTGTAAAAGCAACACTTACGTCTTGGCAGTTCTGCACTGTCAGCCGAAGGCTCGATGGCGCTTCTATCCTCCAACAGTTCTTCGTTCTAGGCAACGGAAAAAAAGACCACAATCACGCGTTGCGAAAATAAGTTAAGCGTTTATGAATATTGCTAAAATGATTTGCCCCTTGGGTAAAATATCCAGGCACTATCAATGCGAATATGAATGACAGCGCGCAACGCCCGCGGCTTATGCAGTTTAGCCATTAAACCTTTATCACAACTTTAAGGAAGAGAATCAGCCACTAAAGGAGCGTAAAAGTTGATACTTAAAAAGCTCAAGCCTGATTCGGGGCCTAAGTAGTCAAGAAGGCCGCAAAATTTGAGTAAATGACAAAACCTACGGTATATGCGAGGCCTAAATCGTAGGTTTTCAGGGACAGAACTTCATGTGTATCTAAAAAGGGAAAAGCGCGATAAGTCACTCAAGGACGTGTAAATGAGCACTAGATTTTTCGGCGGTAGACTTGCGCCATAACTAACGGCTGTGAGGTTGCAAAGAAGACATGTCACACGTTCAACATACCTGTCAAGTCGCCGGTAGCAGCGGAGACACCGAGATAGTAGCCAGTTGGCAGATGCACACCACCAACTTCAAAGCAAGTTGTCCACTTGTTTTGATTATCAATGTCCATGAAAACCTAAAAAGGGCAACACAGCCGGAAGATAAAAGGATTGCGAATGTAAGATGATAACTCAGTGCACAAACGATTTCAATAAAGACTGAACTCTGAATACAGATGAAGCTTAAATTCCGGAATGAAGTTGGAGTGTGGTTTGGAGACGATTACATTAAGCATTCCTGTATCGCGGTACCAACTTTACTTTTAGTGGAAATGGGCCCTCACCTCAAAGTGACCCGAATCCACCGCAAAACGGATCAACTAAGCCGAATTTTAACTGAATAGAATAACAGCAAATTTGCAATAAACGGTCGTTTTCTACTTCATGGGCAGGTGTTAGACACTTTCGGTCTCTATTTTCTCAGCCCATCTGTAAGTTGCCAATTAAACTAATAACTTCTTCAGGAAGTAACTCCGGTGTACATACCTCGAGAGTATCTTTGGAATATCGGATAAGAGTCTTGGTTTTGTGATTCTTATTTCGAAAGGAGACATGACATCCGGCCAGTTGGGTCTGAGTCCCATCGTGATCGTGGTCGTAGGCCACAGATCCATTGCTCACCATCGCGCTCACGTAGGGATGCTCGTGGGCATGCTCGCCGTTGTGATTGCTATAAGTATCATAGAAGATACCCAGGCCTCGGAAAATCGTCTCTGCACCTAGAGCCGGTCCTGAACAGCATAAAAGGAACGAATGAAAGGAAATAAGAGCTAAAAAAACAGGTATGCCACGCTTGACAAAGCCTGCTTCAAGCCACTAACCTGGTTTAATGGGGCTAGCGGTATACCAAAATGCAAAGCCATCCCCAAATAGGGTTCCAGTAGATCCAGAAACCCTGAAATCAATTATGACCTCCCAGTCACGGGAGTAGAGGGGATAGACATTAGAGACACCTGCCATCGCGCCACGCTGGTCAGAAGTAAGTCGGACTACGCTTGGGGAAAACATTGTCGTGCCATATGACGTCCACCCTCCTTAATATGTGAAAAAAAGAATGGATATAGCTTCACAAATTCCAACATTTTTAACCAAAAAAGATGCCTTCCGACAATTCAGATATTTAGTTCCTGAGAATGATATGCAAATAAAAAGCTGCCTTACCAGTGTATGGGGGAACAAGGGAATGGTCACGCCTTTGAAATTTTTCACACTGTACTAGTGAAAGAAGCAAGAGACAGACAATGCACCAGAGTCTATTCATGGTTAGACGGAGGTCACAAGATCAGAGCCTGTAAAAACCAAAAAACTACCGAATAACAGTTATAAAACTGGCAAGCTGTGTTTTGCACGCAGAATTGAAACGCGATCATTTTATTGCCAAAGGCAAAATGCATTCTAGCATGAGCCCTAAATACAAGTTCCAAGGTTGAGTAGTGCTGCACAAAGGGAAAAATACTTAACCATAACGCTCAGATAATGATTGATTGATTACTAATCAAACCACGTAAAGGCGATGAGAAGCACACCAGTTTAAACACCAAACACGACGAACAGAATTGGCAAGACCAATAACTCAATAGAGCGCGCGAAAAACCTGTTCACTTAAAGTTATGGTACTCTGAATTGCACATAATAGTTACCTTTTTAAGATACATGAGCTTTTTTTAGGACAATTTTGTGACTTATGGTATTTAGTCCTTGTATGTCCCAAGTTTTTGCAAAAAAAGTATGTACGCTTTTATGATATTTAATGGTTGCATTTAATTTACTAATATAAATCTGTTGTTACCACAAACTTGCTGCTTTTTAACTTTTTTGGCCGTGTTTTTTGTATTTTATTTCTGGTACTGGTAACACATAAAACAGGCTTGCAGGTTCTGCTTGATTCCAAATCAGGTCAAGCTATGTAATAGATCCAGATGCATAGTCAAAATCGCTAAAAGGTTACAATACATATATTGCAGCTTGATTACCATGTGCTAACCCGGTCCTCCAAATTCTTCGGACATATGGTGCAAAAGTGATTATAGTTAGCAGGATTTTAGTGAAATTTCCTTTGTTTCACTACTTACGTACAGTTCAAGGATGTCAGAGATAAAGGAACTTTGTGTACTTCAAATATTGCAGTTCAGGTATACTTATTTGATTGTGCATTTAACTAGGCAGGTTCCTCATTCTCTACTGAATTTACTTCCACATTGGCTTTATGTCTGCGATCTGTCTGGGGTTGTGTTATATCCAGTTACCATCTAACCTTCAATTGTAAAGTGCCTAGCTAGATTAATAGCTGTACGCCGCGAGCTTTCCCTGCAGCTGTAAGAAGCCACAGTAGTAAGGCAGAAAATAAGTTGCTAATACACAGAATGCCTAACGGAAGTACAGTCTGCGAAGACTTAAGCTTCAGAGTTATCAAGCGCAGAGTTAAACATGCTATCGAAGCATAACACAACTAAAATGGCTTCTAAAAGTATTGCACTTGTTAAGATAATCGCCTTTACCAACTACATATAGACGGGCTGATAATCGCTCTTTATAAAACCTTTTGTTTTAGGATGAAAACACCATCATTAAGGTGTTTTGTTTCTAACTTAGTTCCATTCTCCGAAAGTCTATTCTATTTCACATGTGCCCATGTAAATGTAGCGTCCTGAGACTCCCTGAAGACGAAAGAAGACAAAATACTCGGGCAGAATATATATATTCAGCACGGAGAAGGTGTCCGGGCTATTGGCATGGCCCAAAAGGCCAGCCCACCCAGCGAGGTACAAGGGGGCTAATTCGAAGTACAAAAGTGGCGCCTCACCAGAACCGAGGGATAAACCACTATCGTATTACATAAAAGCATCATGGCAAAATTTGGTAACTAGTAGTTTGAGAAATGTCGAGGATTGAGGAGGATGGGATTAAGAAGAAACAGTTTCATTCCCCTCCCCTCGATCATAACGTATATGTCTTGTCACGGGACGGTTTGACCGCCGAATAAGATCTTGATTTCTTCTGAAGGTGGAAGTTTCCTCTCACACCTCCAGGTTGCACCGAGTGGATCCTCCTGGTCATAAGTGCTTTCTTTTCAGCAAAGAATTTATGTTACAGTCCTTCACACACACATACACAAGGTGAGTACGGCATGATCACCTGTGGATTGTTTGAGGGCGACCGACTATCGGTTCGTTCGCTTAACGTGCAAGGTCTTTTAAGTGAGTTCTAAGGCCATTCTTCATTGCAAGTTAGTGAGTAAACAAACCGAAAGGTGGACGTCTTGTTAGCTGATTATTTCCAGCTTCTTGTTGGTAAATGGTGATCAAGTTCCTTTCCCGTTGGATGCAGATTAATGCGGCTGTTTCATCAGTCATGGCTAAGTTGTTCTTGAATTAGCATGTCACTAGTGATACGTAATCCTACCCTTCAGTCTTGTCAAGAGTAGATATTCTGCCACATCATTTCAGGGATGATTCATCAATGGAATGAAATTATTCATTGTAGCGGTTGAATTCTAGGCAGTACATTTTGTTATCACCAGCCTCGTCTTTTCAAATGCTATGCAGGGAGCCTGGCGCAAAGCTTCTGCAACTTTGCAACCATACCAGACTCAATTCGTAAAGCAGACGAGCTGCAGCTGCTTTTCTCGGCTGGCTCTCAACCACCACTCATTTGACATCTGACGCGAGTTCGAAAGGAGAGGTAGCGATTGTGGACTGACACCTCGTGTGTACTCAGTATGATGCATCCAGGTGAACACCCACTTACATTTTATGGGTCCCTACAGGTTGCAATAAGTCATTGCATCAACCTAAAAGTCGTCGCAACACATTTCATGTTTCAGTTCTTTAAGTAAACTGGGTTCAGTTCATTGTAAATATAGAGTTGCTTTGAATAAAACTGCCTTCCCCGTGTTTCAAGACAAAGCATATCGCAACACTTGAAGAATCAGTCCGCGTAAATGCATTTCAAGAGTACCGAAGAGGACAGCTTTGCGTTAGGAACAGTAGGAGTACTTAAACTCACACTTGTACACTTAAGCACTCCCGGGAGAAGCTGAGCACCATCGAGGTTGTAGAACTCTTGCCACATTTTTGAAAGGTATTTATAAAACGGTAGACCATAATACTCCACTCTCTTCTTGACTCAAATGGAAATAGACGGAATTGCAAACCATTCAGTTTCAAATGACAACACAGTGATAAATAACAAAAGAAGTTGAATTTATACTTGTGGAAGTGCAAAAAGGAATGCTATTCAGCTTGATAAAGCTACCGTGTTAAATCGCATCAGTGGTGCTCAATTACAACCCTTACTTGATAGAGGCTGGAATGCAACGATACCCTTATCAGATTGTGTCCGGAGCCATTTATTCTAACGAGAGGCTAACCCCTATTAATCATAATCTATACCAATTCCACAACAGACAACTTCCATTGTTCAAAGAACGTCGTAAAATCATCGTTGTATTTTTCCTATGATATATTGTAATACTTATGTTGTTTTAGTGTACCTTTCAGGGAGGAGGCAACCTGGAAATTCGAATCTGGTGAGAGGGTCGTCGCCTTCCGTGCCTAATTGTGATTGCAGTTCTTCCTCACCCTTTGTACTTTTCCTCCTGATCTTTTCCCCTTAATAAATATGTCAAATTCAAATCAACCGGGGTGTTGTAAGAGCACTAGGAACAGGGAAGAGGAGACCGGTGAGTCTCGCCCTACAATATCATTGATACAACTTCTCGCTAGTAATTGTGGCTATTTACTATGGTTAGTGTCAATTCCGCATTAATATGGCTACTACCAACGGTTGTTACCAACTTTTCTAACAATATTCCCCTTTCAAACGTGATCAGGAGCTTTGATTGTATAGACGTTGAGGACAGGTTTCCTCGATCATATGTCAACTGGATGACTGAAGAAAAACATGTTATTGTGGTAAAAAAAAAGCACTCTGAGCCTATTTTAAATGCATATTGTTAAAGCATAAAACTTTCCGATTTCTTTGGTTACTGCCATCGTCAAGGATAATACAACAGCCTTCCACCTTCATCTTTTCATGATTCCTTTATTCCGTTGTTGATTGTTATGTAATACTTTAATTATTTGTTCGTCTCTTGGTTTTGGTAACGGACCACTCAGGGGTTCCGCCATTGTACCTCTGGCCTCAAGGCCATGCCAGTAGCCCCTCAGCCCTACTCTACGTCAACAGTACATGTTCTGCTTTAGTACTGTGTCTTCTTTCCTCTTCAGGGAAGTCTCAGAGCGCTGCAGCTAGCCAGAGTTCTGGAATGCTCTTAATTTTGAGTGTTTTGGAGATTACACAGGAGCCGGAATACATTTTCACACAGCTTTATTTAAATCACACAAACAGCTAAGACCTTTTCCAAATAAATCTCTGCATTTTTTTCATCATCTCGATTCTTATAATATCACATTTTACCAAACAATGCAATTGAATAATTGTATCACTGATACATACCTGACGTGCCGGAGAGACAATCTTTTTTATTAATGGGATTTTAATTCCTGAGGGAATTTTCGGTGCTGTTACCTCTGTATCATAAAGTAAGGAATCTGAAAAATAAAAATTTAACACTTAATTCTCAGCCTAAATTGAGAAAAAGTTGTGGCTTACTGTTCTACCGGGGAGTGTTTTTGTGCGCTATCCATTAATTTGACCGTGCGAGCTATGTCAAAGGGCAATGGCATGCCTTTGCCATTCCATTCTAATTTACTTATGCAGAGGAGCATTGACCACCACGGGCCGGTTGTATGATGGTCTTTATGTAGCTCTTCTGTCCAGAAACTTCAATGCTGTAACTGTTTGCTGATCAGAAAATCCTACACTTATTTCATTGTTTTAACTTCAGACGCCTTGTTTGCGGAGCGATTTGGTGCAAACACTTATCGTGGCTCCACAAAACTCCCTTGGAGGGAAAGGAAGACACAATACTTGGGCAGATTATGCAATGTCGACATACAGTAGGGCTTGGGGCCTCTGGCATGTTCCGGAGGGCAGGGCGCCTAAGAGAGGTACAATGGCGAAACCCCTACATGTCCCGTTACCAAAACTCAGAGCAAAATCAACAATTGAAGTATTACATTAGCATAATCTTATATGGAACATTGATAGGAATGCGGTAGTTTGTATGTTCGAACTTTTATTCAATGGACCCATCTAAAACTACCGGCTGATCGGCATTGTGTTTAGATCTGTTTAATGTAGATTAAAAATAATTATTGCTTGTGCAGTGTCTGGACTATTCCTAAATACATTCCAGTTCATGTGAGTAGCTTTTACTAAAAGTGTAAAGGAGGTCTGGAGGCAAGGCTACACGACATCGATGCAAAAAGCGAATCCTGGGACCTAATAAAAGTTCTGTCATTTAAACAAATTCATTCAAAAAACCGGGCGGTTGAAGGAAGGAGTTAAACAAGCCTGTTTTGAGCCTAGGTAAAGAGATAGGAGTCACAAATGTTAATAACAGCCTGATTTTTGTTGCAAATCATAAGAAAATAAAATGCTATTTTCCTCACCTTTTCAAGGCCAAGTGGTAAAAACAGGTACATTCTCGTTGACTTTGAACTGGTGTCGTTTCAGCACCGCAGCCGGATGCGTATCCATTTTCAATCGAAGTGCACGCGCGCACGCATGCACGCACACGTACGCGTGCACGCGGTACAGCGCACTCGAGCAAGCTGGTTGGAGGAGGGAGGGGGGTGGGGAGAGTGAGGGGTGGTTTAGTGACCCCGATAGAGGAACACCCACTTCCTTCCTTTTCGTCAGCCCGCGCGCATGCGTACAAGCACACATACACACATACAGGGCGGGGGAGAGAGAGTAACAGCGATTACCTACCTGCCTTAGCATCTTGGCTGCCGGACTAGTGACCGAGCTGTGAGAGTGGTAGGCACGCAGCACGCAAGCGCATGCATTTCAAAGTTGTACACCTCGAGCACACTGCCACACGCCACACGCCACTGTGAGACCGCCCTGATTACCGATATGAGGTGGAGTTAACATTAACGCCAACACCAGCATCAACGAGGCAAAATGGAGCTACCACCAAAGGACTTTCAGGCTAACATTGTCGACTATTTTGAGAAGTGAGTGTTCTCATTTTGTCCTCAATCAATAATTATTGGTTTATCGATCTGTGCACTTAAGCGTGACCGATTGTTCTGGCAGAAGTTGCTGCAACTCGTAGTCTATTAGGGGAACAGGTTGCACTGTCATCCGTTTTTATTTTCTAATCTCGTTTTTACGACCATTTTCTCGCTTGTATTACATCCACAAGCCAATGAATAAAGAATCGTGTGTGTTTTGCGGGAAAAAAGGAGTTATTTTAAGTAAACAATTGTATAATTTATGGCTATCTCGGCTTTTGCAAGCTAAAATACAGTAGTCTGTTTTAATCCAGGCTCAAGTGGAAGTAAATCTGTCAGTAGAAAAATTGCCTGTGATGGGTTAGCAGCGTTTAATGTGGTGGTGATTGAACCTTTGTACGAACCCTTTTAATATCTGAACGGGGATGACACTTTGGCGTAGGGCAGTGAGTGCGGTTATTTTTAATTTATTAGTTTTTCTTTGAACCACTTATTTCTACGTGGATGTCCCGATTAATACACTCAGCCCTTCCTTAATACAATCTCAAATTAGGCAAAACCTTTAATTGTATTATGAGAAATGCGTTATCCTTAAAGAAATAATCAGTCGGAGAGAAACAAATTAAGTAACTCAGTCGAAAATTCGGCCTTCACACTATTTAATAGTGGTATGAGAATGCTTAATCTTATGCAAAGCCCCTCGTTGCTTACTATTCCATAACAGTAAGTGCCGACGAAGGTTTGAAGAAGTGGAGCATCCTATGTAATTCTTTACATAAGCCACGCCAATTGAGAATGGCAAAATCTTTAATGGTCAATTGGAATTACCTATTCTCGTGAAACAGTTTACTCTCCCTTTCTTGGATGGACCCTTTTTGTACTTTGTTCACTCTCCCACTTATCTAAAAGGCATTACGAAAAACCATCAACTTGAAAGGCTAAATGTTTGAAAATTAGGTGTTGCATATTTTTCGAACCGATGAAAGGTATTCCAATTTAGTGCATTTTTCATGAACCGTTCTCCAAATATCTTACCAAGTTTTGAAACCTCTTGAGTGAAGAATTTCTTGAACTGTCATGTGCTTTCATGTATTAAACGAAGCTGGGTAGGTGGAATAGTGGCTCGACGAAAAACAAGCTAAAACTTAAAAAAACATACCAGCTATTGCACCAAAAAGAAATCTAGTATATATTTGTATCCAAATGAAAGAGACAATTCTGTTCATTTACAAGGGATTCCTTTCTTCAACTGGAATTTTCAGCATCGCTATTAATTAACAACGGCCGGCCATCACAACGTAGTCGGTGCTGCAAGGAAACGCCCACGAGCCAACCGGGCCAGTCATTGAGTTGGGGTACAACTGAGAAGATAGCTAATTGCGAAGTCACTGATTACTCTTGGGAATTCTATTTGGGAACTGTATTGGGGGAAGGAGGAATGTACTGGCCGTCTCGAATGACCGTTGATAGTCGTATGAATACTGGCCTGAGAGCACAGTCGTTTAATAAGGGACGATGGCAAGGTTTCGCGTCTCTATTTTAGTGCTGCCCGACCATTTCTATTTGGGTTCAATTAGGCTATTGGAAGGATGGAGGAGGTATGCCCTGTTCACTTAAATGGCATTTTCATACAGGTACTGTAGACAGCTCTGTAACGCACTTTCCCTAATTGTTCAAGACCACGGCCGATGCCACTTTAATTGTTTAGCGCATTCCTGCAGACCACGGGAACAAAATAGTTGCCGAAGGTTGACGTCATTTTCCACCCTTCTGTTAGGGATCGCCATATATTCGCTCATCCATAGCATACGCCCTTCTATCGTGTTAAGGTTTAGTATGAATCAGGTGTAGCTGTCCATTAGGAGTGGGTTCGCTTTCTGCAGCCATCAATGCAGTGTGTCAAGACTTTCATGAAGACGAGAAAAGATATAACATTAGGACAGCAGATACGTTGCTGGAGGGGCTACTGGCCTGGCCCGGGGGCCACACCACTCAGCAAATATACAAGGACGGAGTCCTAAGTGACCGTGAAGCCACAACGAAGAGTTAAACAAGTAATTAAGATAATACAGCAATCAAATGGGTATTTCAAATGCGTCTTTTAAATCATTTGATCATATAAACGAACCACTAGATACACTATGACCCTTAAAATACCAAATATCCCCGAGAAAGTGTGTTGTATAGTCGCCTTCGTGGTTATAAAAATATGCACCTGTAGGCTGATGGGATTTGGCTTGATTTGGCTTGATTTGGCTATCTACCACACAAAACGGTAGAATTGTGTGAAAGCGTATGAAACCCAGTCTCTATCCCATCCCACGATGTGCTACAGCTAAGGATCCAAGGCAAATCGAATAAATAGCCCCTCAATAGTAAGGAAAAGCAAATACTTTAACCAATTTTATGGCACCATTTTAATACTGTGTCAAAAAAATATCCGCCAAGTCGCCCGAATTTAACTCCGGTTACAACAGACTTTTTTATGGAACTGCCCTCGGAAGGGACCTCATCTCATTGTAATGGCATTGCCAAGTCTCCTTTTTGTCTATAACATTTCACCAAAGATTTTTTTCTATTTCCTTACCGTACTAAGCTACATGATTGGCGAGGAGCAGGAGTGTCATCAGCCGACTGACCCAAATGAACCTGGCGAGTGAGTAGTTTAAGACCTAATTTTGACAAAGTTTTAGTGTAATCCATTATACAGCCATTAAAATAGTCTTTAAACATTAGCAACCCTAAGAACAACCAATCTGTGGACGGTTCGAATTCTTTGGAGGTCTGATACATATTTCCGAATAAGTGTACTATGGACAGGAGTTCCTTAGTCTCCTAACCACCTTTTCAAAGTTCCATGTCGGCTAGTTTATAACTGTAGCAGAAGTTAGAATGTATGGACCATAATTACCTTTTAATGCTAATTAAAGTATGACGGTTTTTAAAGCATCGTGCTCACTTTGTGAGAAAAAGGTGCCATTAAATTTTTTTTACGATTGTTCGTGCCTTTTCAACGTAAAACAATCAAAATTTCGTGACACCTGCAACTGCATTTTCAAGTTAGTCATTTATACTTCATCTTAAGGCAAATCTTTTCTGTATTTTGAAAAAAACAGACACCACTTTCGACGTAATTTAATACAGTATTTGAAACATAAAAGCTGAAGTGCGTTGAGACTTCCCTGAAGGCGAAGGAAGTCACAATACTCGAGCAGAATATGTGGCGGCGACGTACAGAAGGGTGGAGGGGCTACCAGCACGGCCCGAATGCTATGCTGCCTAGCGAAACTACAAGGACTGAGCTTTAAGTGCTCGCAAAAACGAAAAGAGGACTTAAACAAGCAATCAAAGTATTACAAATTCCTTCTCCTTTTTTGTGCTTCTTCCCCGGCCTTCACCCTGGTCAGCTTCCACGTCGGCCATCACAACGTAGTCGGTGCTGTACAGCAAAGCACGAGCGAACCAATAGCATCACTCATTGAATTTATATGCAATCGAGGAGATATCTGACCACAACGTCACTGATGCAGACTCGGGAATTTCGTCCTGTTTGGGAACGGCTTTGGGGGAAGGGAAAATGCCTAGGCCATTGCGCATGTCCATCGCTAGTCGCAAGATCATTGGCCCAAAAGTCGAGTCATTTACTAATGGACGGCATCTTATGTAGTCGCGTGGGGCCATCTTTTGAGTCGATCCCTCTTTCTCACTTTGTTTTTATCTCGGCGCTGCTTGACCTTATCTATCTGGATTCTATCCATCTGATAGGAAGGTAAAAAAGGTATCGTCTGTTCACCTAGTTGTCTTTTCCATACAAATAACTCAGACGGCTCCGTAACGAACTTTCCCAGATGGTTTACGGCCAAGAGTACTGTTCCTTTTCTTGTTAATAGCTTTCCTTCATGTGACACGCTACTAGGGTAAATGTCGAAGGTAGGAACCATGTTAACCCTTCTGTTAGGGATCGCCACATCAGGGTTGTTGTCCTTAAGAATCGGGTTTACACTATCCCCTGCCACTGATGTTGCTCTCCGAGAATTCCTTCCTTGAAGATAAAAGGAGGCATAATACTAGTGCAGAATACGTGGCTACCAGCATGGCCTGGTCAAAGATACCCTGTCCGTGCCCTTTAGTGCTTGCGTATACAAAAAACGACAAGTTAAACTACCAATCAAACCATTACAGTTAGGAGATGTAATCCATGGAATGCAAATTCAAATTCTTATCCTTCCATTTGATTAATCAAGAGAGGAGGACATTAGTATGCCAATATTCTATCTCGTTTTATCCACATCAGGAAGGAAAAATTTTATCAGAGTATGCTGTAATAATCAAAGGGGTTCACAGTTGGTTACATAACAGAAGTACAGATGTCCTGAAAGCGTAGAAGCCCGGACAGTAAGACAAGGCAGTTTAAAAAGGCCATTTGGAATGTAAGTACATAAAATGCACAGTTTAGGTGTTTTAAACTGGCAATTTCCTTCCTTTGCATTAACTAATAATGCCGCAGTTCTTTCAACTTTATTCCTCCTCAAAGTGATGCACTAAAGTTAGGCTGCTTCCCACTCTTCAAGAACGCTTTAATTGCGCATTTATGAATGGTCTTTAGAATTCATAAAAGCTGTATTTTATTGCTCTGAGTAGTTAGTTCAAAGAGAATGACGCCTTAAAATATCCCGATTAAGGTGTAAATAGAGCCTGGGAAGTCCCCACCTTTTTTATTCAGAATCAAAAATTAAAGCAGACCTGATGCGCTTGTGATCTTGTGTACGGTCACGAAGTTCACTACTCCTCTCAGGGCAAAGTGAACCAATTTTTTTTCCCAACAACTTCGCACGAACCTCTACCACGGAGCTTTCATTGTTTATTTACTTCTTACCCGTTTCATCAACCAGATTGGAGGTAAGGTGGAAAATACAATTACACTGAATGAAAGACCTTACATAAACGACAAAAGATTTTAATGAACTTCTTTGCGTGTTTGCACAGCGCGCCAAGGTAACTTGGTCCTCTGTAGGAGTAAAAGGAACCACTTTGCCACGACTCCAATGCCCATGAAGTTCATCACTACAAGAGATATTGTAATCCTTAAATTTCTTTCATTACTATCGGTAGTTCTAAGGCAAAAACTGCGAATAAACAAAAGAAAACTATGTTTTTTTGCATGCACTTGACCTACTTTTCTCCAAGTCTTAACAACATTTGCTCTTTTTCAAAAGTTTTAGTAAAGCGGTTCAGGCTTTATTGCTTCCTTTGAAGGCCGATGCTGCAAACTTCAAATAAACGAGATTTATACAATCTGAACCTAGCAATTTGTTGAAATGCATCTGAGAGTAATTAATCACAACCACCTCTACTGGGCCACCGTCTCCCTTCCAGTCTTCCCGCTTTTCCCCACATGATGTACTGTAGAGGTCTTAATTTACAATTTTTAGTCACTGGACTTTAAACTTTGTTTCTTTCATGGTAAGCTAGTAACTACGCAGTAGTATGGTATGGCCACTGCGCATTGTTGTCATTCGCAAAGGTTATAACGGATTAGCCATTCCTCCCAATGATTGGTGATATTATCAGATCAGGAAATTGCCCAGAAACTGAAACAACTAGTAATGATTCATGGAACTAATTCCAGTGGATCACACTCGCTCTATCAATTTTGGGTCCAATTCTAAAGATGGAATTTAGAGTCAAAGAGAAGTCAAAGAAAATTGCTTAGAATGTTCTCAAACCTTTCTTCTTCCATTACGTACTAATAATGTGCCAGTATTGTGACTATTTGCTGAAATAAAGAAACAACGAAGACCATGCATACTGTTCCTATACCTACAAACTTTAGTGAATGAAATCTGTTTTGAAATAGTAACTGCTTTAACAAATAAGCTTATGAAATAGATCTGATCCCCCACTACTATTACATGAGAGGCCTATCATTTTGCTCTTAAAACTTAAAACCACTGAAATGAAGAAGCAGGAGAGTGCAATCTTTTTTTTGGAAGGATTGGTGGTGGTAGTGATGGAACGGTAATTTTTGAAACATCAACCTAGCATACTGTTGACGTGCCCACGTTTTTCGGAGAGTTCGCTCTTTTGCCTGTTATCTCAAAAGTTTAATACCATGTAAATTGTGCAATCATTTCGACAGATTCTGATCTTTTGATAAAAAATATTGATGTCTGGTAAATGAAGATGCAAATAAGGGAAAGGAAGAGTCAGAAGACGTTTGGCTTTGCTGTAAAGCTGAGGTAGATAGCGTTTTAGCCTCAGGACTCCCCTGAAGACGAAAGAAGACATAATGTTTGACTAGAATTGCCTCGTCGGAATACAGGTGGACTTGGGCTGCTGGCACGACTCGAAAGCGGACCTAACCGGCAAGGGTGCAATGGCGGAGCACCTAAGTAACCCTTTACCAAAATTGGAAGTTAAACAAACAGCCAAAGTATCACAATAGTTCTTGAACCCTAACAATCAGTTTTTTATCATACTGTGGAAGAAGTAGAGTTGGAATTATCAATAAACCACAATCCACAGACCGCGAAATATCATCCAGACACATTAACCCCAACCTCAATGAATTATTTCTCATAAAAATTTAGGCACTAGCCAACACTGTGTGGAAACCGTTTTAACTGATTTTGCCTTTGTGATAGTTTTTTCTGTGTCTAGAATTACTTTTGCATGAGACCAAAGCATAGAACTTCAGAAGTGTCTTGAACTTCTCCTTTCAATCGCCTACTATTAATATGATAGTTGCTTAACAAAACTTAATCCGCAACACGTTGGAGGCAAAAAAGCACGCCATCATTGTCCCACGTCTTCCAGCTAATTTCTTTTCGTGTTCAGCTACCCATTGCATCAACATACTAAAATAGAGGTGTTTCCGAGTCTCTATGGTCTTCTCGTGCTCCCGTGTGGAAGGAATAGCAGCCATTTGACTAATTTCAGTTACTCTCCAAAGCAAAGTAATGAACAGCACAGTCCGGATCCACTTAATTACCGCCCTCAACTGCAGTTCGCATAAACAATCTTTGAAGCAAAGTTGATTATTGTTTTCACGGGAACGGTTTAAAAATTGTTGATGTTCTTACTAGCCGATCTGACTCATGAGAGCTTTTTGGCCACCATGCAAGGAATTTAGAAGAATCCCTCTAAATCTTCCCTGATTTCACTTCAGTGTTGGTTACACGACGTCCTTCACCATCGCCAGAGTCACTTAAAATGTCGGAACCATCTCTGGTTGGCACTTTCTGCTACCGCATTCTGTATCTTCTATAAGTACCATACAAAGTAACAAACTCAAAGCCTTTGAATTCTTGGGTTCGAGTTGCACTCTACTTGTAGAGCAGACATCCTTCGACAAACAGATTACATTGACATGTATCCACTCTTCATAATACATCTAAGCAATAAACCGCATTCATTTTGCCAGTCTCCGTGACGTATAGAATGTAACTACAGCGATATTTGAAGCAGAAAACAAGGCAACACAAAGATAGTTCACTTGGATTTTTTTCACGGCACCAACTAGCAAACAATGCTCTCTCTGAAATTTTGGAGCCTTTAAACCAAGGAAGAAGCAAAGAGCGAAAGAAAGCAATTGCTTTTGTCGTGTGATCCGAAGGGTAGAGAGGTGGGTGTGCTGTGGAGCTTATCTGGGCCACACAAAGGCAGGCACACACCCAGACATGTGCACGGAGGTGGATCGAGAGCCTGCACACGAACTGGATACAGGAGGGACCGGGAACGAGAACGAGAGAGAGCGAGAGCTAACGATGGAAGGCGTGTGAAATCGCAACGGCGCCAGGCTGGCTGTGTGAGTAAGGCGGCAAAGAACACCTTCTGTTGTCTTAAATTTGTCTCCAATTCATCTAACCTGCGTTTCTGAAGCTCGTGACGTTACATTTGCATGTTAGAAACTTGAGTTGAAGCACAAAGGCACCAAGTTTGGTTCGCGGTTGTCGTTTGATGGCAGGGACAGTCCATTCCTAAAATAGCCAAGAGTGATTAAAGGGGGACACCAGTGGTACCACCCGTGACTGTAGACCTTCTATAAGTAATGACTTAAAAAATACGAAAATTTCGATAATACGCATTTTTTTCTGGCTTGACTTCATGTTTCTTTTTCTTTACTTCGTATGGTAGGTGCTAAAATAAGGGGTTAAAAACCAACCAGACATTCTTAAAGCTCGCACTTTAAGATTATCACTTGAGTGGGATACCATCCACTTGTGTAACACCCTACTGCATTGATTCGTTAACCGGCAAGTGAAAGGAATACAGAAAATTTAAAAGGATGAATAACATGTAGGCCTGATCAAAAGCTCAACTTAATGCATGGTTTTTATGTGGTAAGATCAGGTATTACTCTAGCCACGCAAATGGTTGCTTTGAATTACATAGGTTTCCGTTCAATGCACAAATTGTTCTAAACATTCCTGCAGCAGTTCCTCATAAAAAATCCACAATAAGGGTACCGTAAATCCGTAATGAATAAAATAATCACCCAGGGGTTATTAATTGTCTTACGAATAAGAAACACATCATTTCTCAATTCAAAAATGATAACTTCCCTCTTAAATATGAATTTAAGACATTAAAAACATATTAGGAGATTACAACACCTCCTTTGCAAATTACAAATTAAAATTCAAACGTTCTTTACTCTGTGTCAAGACAAACAGTAAAGATGCAGACTGCCTGACTCCTAGAGCAGGCCTTGTTTCGAGGCTTCAGCCTCCTCTGACCAATACATCCTTTCTGATCACTCACGAAGATAACCAAGGAGGTAGGGATTTTACTAAACAAAGTTAAACCTTTTTACAAATGCAGGAAGTCAGTTTTACCTTTGCCGATTCTGATTTACTGTATTATCCCGGGATAAATATTCAAATGATGCACAATTTCAGTCCCATTTTGAGATGCAGCATCCTTCCACTTCATGATGCAAAGGTAACATGTAACTTCCCCCCCCCCCCCATCCTCCACAATGTTGAAAAAAAGCTTGGTTTACGTTATTTAGGAATCATTTTATAGTTTAGGTACATTAAAAGGAGGCAGTTTTCCTTTTATAAAGTTGAACAAACAAACACGTCAACATCTAGTTTTTAACAATTTCAAAATATGGAATTTCAGACAAATTTGTACAACATTTTAATTGATAAAGCTGAATTCTGACTGTAGTACTACGAGTCCTTCCTAAAGACAGTAAAATTCCTAATAATAGGACTAAAGAGCTAAACAAGCAACCTTAATCAACCTTACGTGTCAACCGTCACAGCGTAGTCGGTGCTGCAAGGAAAAGGATCCAGGAGCCAACCGTGGAAGTCATCGGATTTACGTGCAATTGTAAAGGTATCCAACTGCCATGTCACTAACTCCTCTTGGCAATACTACCGGATCTAAAGTTTCATCCCGTTTGAGAACTGTACTGGGGGAAGGGGAATGTGCTGGCCATCTCGTTTGCCCATAACTAGTTGTAAGAGTACTAATCTGATAGCACAGTCATTTAAAACAGGACGATGATTGATAGAAATTCATGAGGATAAAGCTTCACATGTCTTCCTCCTTGTCAATTTGTCCTCACCTCAATTCTGTCTGGCCACATCTATTGCGTGTTCACTCAATTGACCTCTTCAAACAAGTAAGGTAGGAGGTTCCGCAACGGGCTTTTCCAGATGGTTCACAGCCACGACCAGTGTTCCTTTGGACGATAATAGCATTTTTGCTGGACACGGAACTAGGGTAGTTGCCTAAATCAGACGTCATTTTCAACCCTTCTGTTAGAGTCTTCACAGAATCTTCCATTTGCAGCAAAAGCCCTTCTTTAGCCACGTCAGGGTTTAGCATTTAGCAATGTAAATCAGGATGGGTGTCCTTTAGGATACTTTCCTAAAGGCGAGGGGGAGACATAATACTTAAGCAGAATATGTATTGCCGGCGCATAGACGAGCCGGGAGGCTACTGGTACTGCCCGGGGGTCATGCTGCCCAGAGGGAGTACAATGAAGGAGCCTTAACTGCCCGCGAAATCAAAATGAGAAATTAAAAAAATGATCGGAGTATTGCATAACATCGCCGCAGTGCAATCTACATCGTTACCACCTTATGGAGGATAGTACGCCAGATTTCAATGAGTAAATCAACCGCAAACTACCAACATAAGTAAATATTCGCAAATTTAATTTAAAAATTGAACATCAAGTTGTCCCATCACTCCCGTAAATTACACCCTTATCGGCGGAATGCAGAATAGCACCCAAACCAAGTCATTATTTTGATCAAGTGGTTTTACTTTTAATTACTCTTCTTTACATGACAATAGTGGCAACCCAGAAGTCGTGTGGTAGCCCCTTTCCACCTTTACGGGACAGATTAGTGCCTAATTTACATCCAACTGGATCTTTGAGTTAACCCTGTATTCTAGCCAACGTCCTCTTCATGCAAAACTGCCTAAAAATAATCATTCCTTCAATTTCTTAGTGGCGATATGATTTGCTTTATGACCTTAGTAGCAGGCTGTTTATTAGAAACGGCAATTCGTGCAGTATAAGTTGATCACCTTCAGTTTACGTCTTTTTTGAATAGCCATCCAATTTTGACTTTTCTTGAAAGATGTTTATATTTTCGCCTGCTGTTTATCTTAACTTCAACTCATTTTACAGGAGGTATTAATATTTATGGTCTTCAAGATGCAGCAAATCATAGCAGTTTAAACTGCCTGATATATGGCTCTCCGGGAACATTCGCGTAGTGCCGAATAGGCAATGGAAAACCTTCTAATGGCAACAATGTAGCGTCCCGAGACTCCCTCGAAGACGAAAGAAGACGCAATACTCGGTCAGGATGTGTATTGTCGACGTAGAGAAGCACTTGGGGGGAGGGGAGGGGGCCGCCGGCATGGCCCAGAACCCATGTAGAAGTTGGAGCACAAAGGCGGAGCCTTAATTGCCCGCGAAATCAAAACGAAGTGTTAAACAAATAATTAAAGCACCATATGATTTGCTGCCAATAAGGGCTTTTGTGATCTCTTCGACTTCATCAAAAACGTGTCAACCTGACAGATGCATCACTTCATTCGGCTTCCTTAGACTATAGACCTTCAGTATATTTGAGGTGTTCAGGTATGTAGATGTTTTCGTTTGTCCATTATTAGGCACTTTGCACCACGTTAGAATTAGGAAGCCTTTACGAATCTGGATGAATCCAATTTCTGCTTATCCTCGATAGACACACTTTTGGTGATGATGATGAAAGGAAAAGTGGTGTAAAACTACACTGTGCTTATGATGTGAAAATTCTTTGCCCAAAATGGCGGCATAAATAATAACTCTAGCTTATTTTCTGTTTTTTTATGTTTTAAACGTCACAGAAAACTTTTCATGACTGATCCAAAGGTACTGCATGCAGTAGCATCACTACTGCCTTTTCCAATCAAAATGAAGTCACCAGACACCAAACGTTCCCCTGTGTCTCCACAATAATAAGCGAATAACTGCGAGGGCTTCCTAGAATATTGTACTCTTTGAAGTACCCACTACAAATAACCATTGTTTTCCACTGTGTTATAAAACAGATGCAAATTACACTTTTTAATGCCTTTGGTCTTTGAAAAGAAAAAGACCTGGCCCCAACTACCACCACCCCTCACCTTATTTTCTCACTGTCAATTTGATATACTGGTGTGTAATGCCGAGCAAAGGTGGGAATCAGTAGTTTGCGAAATGCATAGGAATGAGGAGGACGAGGGTGGGGAGAGGCACCACCTCATTTCCTTCGATCATAAAATGCATGTCTAATCGCGCCAGATGAGATCTTGCTTTGTACGAAAGTACATGGACATTCTCACACATCTCGAAGTTGTGAGTTGCTTGCTTTTCAGCAAAGAACGTGCGTTACAGTCCTTCACACACACACACAAGGTGGGTATGGCATTATCACCTGTGGATTGTTTGAAGGTGACCGACAATCGGTTCGTTCGCTTAACGTGTAAGTTGCTTCAAGTAAGTGCAAAGGTCATCTCTCACCACACGTCAGTCTGTAAATAATCTAAAAATCGGGAGTTTTTAAGCGTATATAGGTCGGACTTATTGCTAGATTTTTGTCAGCTTCTTGTTGGTAGATGTTAGCAAGTTCTACTTCCCCCTCATGGTGGATGTAGGATGATATGACGGTTTCGCCAGTCGCATTGCATGGTACTAAAATTGACCATTTACAAGTTGTTCTTGAATTAGCATGTCAATACTAACACGTAATCCTAATCTCTTTAGCATTGCCAAGAGTAGAGAGTCTTCCTAAAAGTGGTGCATAGTCGGCATCATCATCAGCAGGAGCACCATGTGATAAGCTATCACTGAAATCAAATTATTTATTGCAACAGTTGGGTCCCTGGTGGTACATCCTGCTACCTCCTGCCCCACCCTCTGCAAATGCTATGTAGGGAGTTGGATTCTAAGTTTCCACAGCCCTGCAACCATACCAGACTCAGCTCGTAATGCAGACGGGCCACTGTTGCATCCCTCAATTGACATTCAAACGGCATTCATCTGACAGCTGGCGTGAGTTCAGGAGAAGAGGAAGGCAGCCGAGGTTCCAGTAAATGCTCTGGTAGCGATTATGGACTGACGCCTCATATGTACGCATTACGATGCATCCAGGTGAACACCCACTTACATTTTATGGGTCTGCACAGGTTACAACAATTCATTGCACTGTCGGAACCTTTTGGTCATCTGACATTTGTGTCATTGTGATCTTGAAATACAGTTTGAATCACCAAGATTACCTTCAGAACGTCTTCTCACTCAACCAGTATTGGTCTCGTGACGTCTGGACAATTCCATGAATTTAAATGAAATAATACCTGTTCCTTCATTCCATCCGCAGCATCGCCCTAATTCATATGATCATACTAAAGAAAAAAAAGCACCTACAGTGTTGCATTCTGCGACATTTGAAACTACACAAAAAAAATGCTGCCTCCATTTCACTTTTTTGTGGTTAAGCAGAATAGATTTTTAAAAGAAGCTTTATAAAACTACTATTAACCTAGCGTTCAAACACAAGATAGTCTAAATAAAACTTCTTTTCTTTGGTGCTTCACAGCATGCGTGATACTCACTGGAACCCGCGCTTCGTGCAGTTGAGCTTGGACCTGGCCGGACGGTTGCTGAGTGTCCGAGCCTCCTGTACTAGTCACTCTGTGGACTGCTGGCCAGAGGCACAATTAACCCTCCTTACTCCTCCTGGTCAGAGTCCCACGACTACCTCCTTCCCATCTTCCTCTCCTTCTGGGCGACATCTGGCAACATTCCACCTGCTCAAACACATCCTCACCAACTCGGTGCCCCTAGAAGCTGTCTTTCAAACCACTCCTTTTACCGCGATCACCGACACACCAAATCTGGATAACTGGCCACAGGTGCAACAGTACTTCTCTAGACTGCGCTCCCTCATCTTCACTTCGCGAAGAGCTCCTCCACCACCACCCCCACCACCACCGCCTCCGTCGCTACCGCAGCCACCGCTGCCGTCCGCGGCTCTATTTAATCCCCTTACCCTGCAGCCGAGCACTACGTTACCGCTTCTCCTTCTAACTCAACCCAACCCGTGCTTCCTTCCCGCTTCGTCGACGCCCATTCTAACAGCACCAACACCACCACTGCCGTTGACAGGCAATTTACTGATGGACATTCTGGCTCTGACTTCACCCTCACCGCAGGTGCCACTCCAAATGCCAGCTTTGCCTACGCCGCTGACCTTCCCACAAGCGACACTGCAGCAGATTATGTCTCCGGTGCCACCACAACTGCTCCACACGGCGAGCGAGCAGCAGACACAGAAAAACTGCTTTAATCACCTCCAGGTGGTGTGCTTCAAAGATGAGGCGAAGACACGATTCATGTGTTCGGTGGGTTTAAGCAACTACTGCTAGGGCTTTTTATTCTCTGCACCCATTTAGCACTTGTTTTGAATGCATGTGAGTTTTTGACTTTAGAAGATTACTTTTTTCTTTTTAAATTCTTTTACCATGACGAAAGAAGATAGGTTACCCCTCGGAAAATATACTTCTGCCACAAATTTTTAAAATACTCCTGTGGATTGCAGCACTTCGAGTCATTCCTGATGTCAAAAGGAGTCATAACACTATGGTGGAATGCGTAGAATCGACCCACGTCATCAGCATGGAGAGAATACACTGAGGAAACCAAAATATCCACAGTGGCAACTCACAAAACTGAACCAATGGCAAAACACTGATATTTCGAATTGGTTACTGAGGTTCACTTAAGTTTCAAAGCTCATCTATTCTCGCACATAAAAGCTAAACAATTCTATTAATCTATTCACGATGGTTCTTTGCAGAAGTGCAGCAAGCAGTGGACCTCGATGAAGGGCGCTATCACCTTCGTGGTGATAATGTCGCATCAGACAACGCCAACAATGGAGGTGGCGGCGCCACAGGCGGCCATGGAGGGAGCGACGTGGTCGTCGCAGGGATGCGTCACCCTTCGGCCTGGCGCCAACGTTCTCCTCGAGCTCTTTCCTCAGGCCTGCGCTGAATGCGCCCTTCACGGCGAGGTCCGTCTCTCCCCTCCCAAATGGTACCCCGAGGAAGTCGACAAGGTCAGTCTCCCTCATCTCTCGCCTTCCTCTCTTCGATTGACAAAAACAGGTCAGAACAGATGAGTGCTCCCATCACTCTACTTCTCTTTTACTACGTTCTTGTCTGTACGGAAATAGTCGAGCATTTATCGGTTGAACTACGATCCTCCTTTAAGTTATTTTCGTCTCCTCTTTAGTTAAAAAAGGATCTATTAGCAGTTCATAGACTTGGTTTAATTGTGACGTTGGTGTTCTTCTGGAGATCGTCCCTATCCTAACCCATTTTCAACCTGTGGTCACGGGTCATAGTGACTAATCGGCGACCTGTCATCCAATTCCATTTATCCTCCACTGCAATTCGATAGGAAAGCTCTGTTGTTCGATGATTAACAGACAGGTACACTGTCACAGCTTATCACTTATGTATGAACCATTGTGCTTTTGTCCCTCTCTTACAGCATTACTGTCGGACAATTTTTCAGTCATCACGTATTTTGCAGATTGAAGCGGTCTTTTTCCATAGGTATCACATCCTTCTGTTTGATCAAATATTGACTTACCTTCGAGGGAATCCAAAAGGTTAGCCCTACTCCTCTTCTCCCCTCCTCGCACTGTTTGATCGATGGACATGGACATGTCCCTGTGCCTTTGTCCGGCTTGACAACCAGATTTAGCTGCATTGTAACAGTTGATCAATGGACATATCACTGTCACTTTCTTAAAATCTGCTATTCTTACTCTTCTTTCATTGCGTATGCGTTCGGATCCTTTTGTTCCTTCCTTTTTACCTGTAATGTTTGATGGACGCCCAAGGGGGTCGGTATAGCCAATTTCCTATTCTGTCCCCAATGAACCGATTAGCATAAGGTAGAAGGCCACGAATCTATACGCTGCCATCTTAAGTCGATTGTTGATCGGCGTTTATCGCACAGATCGTACCTTCGACATTGGCTTGTCTGTAGATTTCTGGAGTTCTTTCACTCCAGCAGTCGTTATCACCCCACGTAAATTCCATTTTGATTGCATCCGTACCTCTAACCATCAATGACCACGTGAGTTGTTTGTCTGACACCACTAGAGTGATTTCCCGTCATCAATTCCAAGGAAACACCTTCCAATTTGCTAACAAAATCCAAATCCCATAAATACAGCTAATCTTGATTTTGCAAAATCGCATCTATGACTCACAGACTTCAAGGTGGATTTCAAGTCTTTCTGTTTCGAGGTAATGTGAACCGGTTTCAATTCCCATTGAAATAGTACATTCAAACACATCTAAATTGACGCAATTTCCTCATTTATCCTTATAAATAGCATAATTTTAGAAGAGTAGGTGGGTTAAGGGTTCAAAAGCACGGATGAAATGCCTTTTTCCCAGCTTTAGCTTTTGAACCATTTCCAAAAACCGTTCACAGAGTTGTCTTTGGGGAACCAGATCTTGCTCACTTCTACACCCACACGACATCCACATCAGATGAGGCCCCGTCAGTTGTACTTACTTCGTCTATCACATTTTGGATAATAGGTCAAATCGGGCCACTTTATTTCTTAAAATCCTATTTGGTATTTAGGATTGAATGTGAGTCCTCCGTAGCACGAAGTTCGCCATTCACCATTAGGAAAAGAAACCCAAATTGTGGGAGGTTCGAGATTCTGCCTACCGTTATGAATAATTAAAACAAACCTCATTGTGCATATCGGTAAATAAAGGTTACAAATGAAATAACCTCTACTTCCCCAAAGTTACAGGTTTTTCATCAACATTTATAATTCTGACCTAGTGCCAGAATATTACACGAATCACTTTGCTTACTTATAATAAGTTGGCAGGCCTATCTGCAATCACCAACCAGTTTTTCCCATCAAAAACAAAATTCATTGCCCCTTGAGGATTGCTTTTAGGTTTGATGGAGGAGCTGGAAGGTAAGAACTGGAAAATGGATCCCTGAAGAGGGCGGATGTGTGTATGTGTATGTACCGACAAGATTGAAATGCCTCTTCAAAAATTGCGACTCCACGTTTCAAGATGCTCCACTAATTCTACTTCATGGTGGATCTTGGCTTTTGTTTTTTTCTAGAGCCACCTTAGGTGTGGCTGTGCCAGCCTAACCCTTACCCGCAACGCATATTTATCACTTGAGTGGATGCTTGCCGCATGAAAGTTGTCTGTTTTCTTTCCTTTTTATTCATAACACCTGAAATAGATGTTGAGATTTACTGTTATTATGCCTTAAGTAACTTGGTTTTCCCAATGTAAAACTTTTAAACATAGTTTAAGACATGATGTTTTTAAGGCGAGTTACAACAACATGACCTGATATGGTTCAGTATAAAATAATTTGGCAAGTATTTCGTGCAAAAGCATCCTACTGGACTCTACTTGTAAATCACTGGGACAGAATAATCTTCTCTTATTTCGAAAAATAACCTGAAAAATTCAAGGCTCGACGTCGAATCCGGATTTGTGCGCATGGTTTCCCCGAAGTTGAAGGTCTCGATCTATCAAAAATCCTTTGTGTGATCATTTAGGTGATTAATAACCACTTTTGGTATATGACAGTATTATGGCATTTGCAAGTGCCTGCTTCATTTGTCATTTCCAAATATATGTAAACTAACATTTTCCCTGAATTTTTACATCCAAATATACACACGAATCACAAATTGGTACTTGGAACAGTTTATCAAAAGCAACACTTCTCACGCCTGTTCGTACAAATGGGATTTAAATCTTGATATATGTTACATTCTCAGAGAATAAGGCTGACATAAGATCAATCATTCGTGCTGGGAATGGGTTATAAAACTATCCCTTGGCAGCATTCCGCACGAGTGGTTCGCCGATCCCACACAAAGCCCTGTTTTATAACGCCTAGGTAACGAATTTGAGCTAAGCAGCGTAAATGTATCCCGCCTTCATTGGTCCTGCGCTCTTTAAGCATGGCCTCTGGATTCAAAATAAAGACTTGTTTTGAGATTAGAAAGCTATATTAAGAAAATAGTAAAACGTGCCCAAAATGTGCCGAAGCAGTGCATCAAACTATTCCCAAATACTGCTGGGGTTCATAGTAAGTAGCACACTGAAATCCTAGCAAACGCTTTAAATGTTATTACCAACAAAAGCTTCCCTCCAAAATGGAGTCAATGCTGATGAAGAGCATACTACTGTTTTATCTTAGGTAGACTATATGTGAATTCTCCACCTACACTCGAAGGGGAAATAACGATCTGTTTAACCACCTAAAATACAGGGTTAGGGCTTAAAACGCTTATCCGAAAATGTTAACATGAAAAACCCATCTAAAATCGGCGTATGTAAAGTTGTTGATCTGCTCATTCATAAAAATGGCGAATGGTACACTTTGACACTTTTATTGCATGACCCACTCAAATACATGCCGAGGGAAAGTGGTCTTCAAGGCTAAAAGAAAACCCACCTGCCCAGACGCAAACCTACATCATAATTCGGCCATACTGAGATTCCCTACATAAAAGTTTTCATTTTCAAACTGGAGATGCTTCACGCATTTTTAATGTTTGGTCTCGGATCGGATCATTAATGTTGGCTGCTCCGGAAAATCCGGACGCTTTCACAAGTGTGAATCCCTCCTATGAAAAAGCACCTAACCTCGATATCTTCTCCCTTCTCCACATAAAGGTGCTTCGCAACCTTTTTGTCAACATTCACCGCACATTTTACAAAAATGTCATCTTCTGGGAGCAGCAATTTGACAGACGACGTCGTCCAGGCCATCCCACCGGCCGGCATGACAACACCAAGTGTCTCGCCTGTCTCAACGGCATGTGCGTCAGTGCCATTAGTCAGCCGCCCAGCCAATCACAGGTCTTGAACGGAGAATCGGCTAGTCAGAGCAACCAATCAGAGTGCTCGCCGGCCTGCAAGCGACGATTAATTCCCCCGACGAAAAACAATTTGAAACGCCTTGAAAACGTCTCAAGCAGCACCACCTTTTGAAACAAGTTACCTTCTCCTGTGCCTTAATGGTTTTGGATTCGTTGATAATACTGACGTTTGATTAAATTTACCTTCGTGTGTGAGAATTTCCGTACAAGTGGTAGTAAAAGTAAAAGGTGATGTTTTCAAACCGAAATTTAGATTAAGCATTAATTTGACAAAAAAACAAACTGGAACGCGTTTTTGAAGGGAACCAGTAGCATGATCTAAAACTAGTAAAAGGTAAGGGGCTGCAAATGATAATTTAAAACCTATGGAACTGGGTAATATTCTGGTCAGTCGAAAGATCAGGATTTTCCGCCATTAAAATAACAAACTGATCCAATCACGCACAAGATTACGAAACAGGGGAGGGGTGAGTTTTAGTTGCTAGATTTACCAACTTATGTACTATAAAACGTCATAAAACGTAGTGAAGGCATTGCCACCCACCATAAAAGTACACATATAAAGTACAAAAGACAAATAAAACCCGAAAATCTCTGTATTGGGAGTGCACACAACCCTGGTAAAAACGTTCGTACCCAGATTTCTGAAGGTTTAAATCTCATGGCTAATTGCACAACCAGCCTAAAAACCGTCTCTCACTAATCTCCTCCTGATGGGCTGAGACGGAATTCAGATACACCTTGGGTGTGATACCACTCACTTCGAGGTCAAAGCCAATCCACCACTATGCGTACGCGTGACTAAACCAACCCAATGGCTCAGAGTCGGCCCTCGGCATCCCCCGTTGGCCAGCCGCCCTACCTCTGTGTTGACTCACCCACATCAGTCGATAAAGACAGTTGACCCCAAGTCCATCGCTTATCTGGTCAGTCAGCACGATAGGACCCCGCCAATTCGTACACATGAACGGTTGTTCATAAAACGTGGAGACTGGTTTATAACACTCCCCCACCCTCACTGTTGCCTAGGTCGATTGTCCCTTTACTACGGTTCCTAAAAAAACAAGTGAGAAAAAAAATAATAAAACACCCCGAAATTCGAAATCACATTGGTTTGAGGTAATAGCAGAGCTGCGAGTACCTTTCGAGGATTTTCAGGAAGCAAAAAAGGGGACGTTCCTATGCAGCGTTTGCATTCTCGTGGGAAAAAGAAGCAGAAGAGGGACGAAAGAGGAGGAGACAAGATTGCACCAGAGCAGTTTGACTTCCTTACTTATATTGAAGAACGCGAAAGAGATTTGAGAGGACAAAAAGAAGTATGTACACAGTATATACAGATGGATTCAGACCACTCCTTCTTCATGAGATGACACCCGTGCTGACAAAGGCATTGCGGGTTGGGGGAGCTGTAGATTCTTCCACAGTGTCGCTTGAAGGAACCGCAGGTGTCAGACGCAGTAGGGACTGGTGAATAGCCTCTACGGTTGTGTAGACGGCCTGAAATGTCTTTCGGCGACCTCCCAGCTCCGCGCCAACCGCTGCTTTCGCACCAACACCACATATACTACGCAGGGTATCTGCCGCAGCCTGTAGTCGAGCGCACTCATCCCTGAATCGAAACTTCGCGTGGGCTGAACAGTCCATTTCATCTACATACCCCAAGCAGGCCTGTTTCAGCCCCTCAATTCGATCCACCAATGTGCTATTGTGCTCATTCGGAAGATTTACTTTCGCCAGATTCAGATCAGCGCAGAGATCCGTCACCTGCTGCAGCAGATGCTCGTAGGAGGAAGGACTTCCCGACGATGGTGGGGGCATCACGGTGGAACTGCTTGTGTACGTCACCGACTGCGACATGATGGCTGGAAGAGCTCCTTCCCGTTCTTCTCCACCCTCTTCCTCCTCCTCCACCACTTCTGGAAAGGCCTCCACGTTTGATGATTGCTGCTGTTGTTTGAGGGCGGAAGAGGAAGAACAGGAGTTGGACGTGGGTGTCCAGCTCATCCGCTTACCTGCAGGCGGCTCGGCATTCTTGAGACGTCGCTGAACCACCAGCTCCTTCCATGCGGGCACGGAGGGTGCGGATTGGGTCTCTATGGCTGTGATGGTGGCAGGAGTGGTGGTAGTGGTTGCCTTAAGCTTCGACTTGGAGGCTTGGATCATCTCCGCGGTGACAGTGGCGGCACCGGGTGGGGCGGGCGAACGAGTGGGACTGTCAGTGGACCTCGAATTGTCCAGTTGGCGCTTCAGGCGGGAGGAAAGTTCACTGTGGAAATCGAGACTGTTGGTACTGCCACTACTTGCCGTTGCCAGACCATTGGATGGAGATTGAGTGGTGGAGGGCAGGCCCATCTTGGGACTCGATTTAGGGACACCTTCAGTCACCTCCGAATCCTGACTTCGTGTTGACTCTGTACGCTGCGGTGGCACGGGAATCGGTGTGCGGCGAGGAACTGTTGACAAGGAGGGTGAGGCAAAGGTGGCTTTCCAGTGTAAAAAGGACAATAAAAAGTGACCAAACCCGCTTCGATTACTCCAGAAAAAAACCGCCCACAGTACACAAGCAGTATTAAACTTAATGAGTAACCCGAATAAGGGGAGTTTGCCCAAACTATAAAGTTACATAATCAATTTGAAGGTCTACCAAAACTGATTTGCTGCTTTAAACGCATTATTTTCCAAGGCTAGGATATTTTCCCAAAGAAACCCGGTAAACACCTAAGTTAAAACAACAGTAGTCCTTATTTTTCTAATAAAAGAAATGATACGAGATTCTCATTCCGTCTGTAGGCTTACAGCAGGGTTACTTTCCGGCTCGAAAACATTACTAAAGCCTTTGAGGAGTGTTTCAAACACTAGCTGTGCCGACCTCAGTTTCCCAGGTACAAATGATACGAATGTTTCCAAAAGCAGTCACTTTCTCCTGATAAGAATATCGATGATGGAATGAACTCTGACTTAGTCCACGTCAGTAATGGATGCAACGTGAATTTTAGCAACAAGACTAATGGAGGAACTTAGTTGTGAGCAACAACAACAAAATGAAAATATCTCAATCTTGGTGGGATGTAGCGGATATCCGATTTGCTCATAAACGACTACCTTTACTAATACCCGAGCAAGTTCAATCCCTTTTAAAGTGGCCTTCACATCAATGACATCGAAATTGTTAGCCTCCTAGCTTCTTCCCTATGCGTAAAATAAAGCTACTTCTGGGCTCGTGTGGATGAAAATGACTTATGGAGAAACTACCGACCTACGGTAAAATATGAGTTGCTCTTAGGCCTACCCTGCCGAGGTTTCTCTATGGAATGCCTGGGTTTCTGATCACGTCCGATGACCAATGATGATAGCAGCGGTGGCGACACAGGGTCTTGCCTCTCAATCCTTCCATCTATTGAATAACCTACGTCTGGACTTGAACGCCACACGACGTTTTCTGAAGTAACTAGGCTACTTCTGCACCACATTTCAGGCATCCACGCTGGATGTCTGCAGCTCTGACCACGCCCAAAAAGATCAATTAGGTGGCAAAAAGCGACTCACCTGAAGCTGTCACTGAGACCGCCGTATCGCTGTTGAGAGGAGGACTACTCTGAGATCGTGATGAGGGCCAATTGACACCACAGAGCACGGCGTTGGGTGGCGATGGCAAGCGCTCCTCTCCGGGCCGTGAGAAGGTCTGGCGATCATCGGTCGAGACCTGAAAAGGGGGAAGAAACGAGGTCTGATAATGCCCATCCAAAGTTCGATGACAGTCGCCATCACGTTCCAACTACACCCACAGTAGTTGTTACAGATAATGTCACAATTTCAAACTAAGACTTATTTTTAAAAATTTGACCTGCTATCATGTTGCATCAAAAATCAAAGAGCATAATTCGAACGGTTTAAACAAAATAGAGGAATGAGTTAACTCGGTAAAATATCATAACCTATGAGGAGGAAGAAAACGAAGGAGGCACTTCATCGAATAACTATCAGCATTAGGTGGTGGAATTTCGTTTCAAGATCAGCAAAATCACAAAATAGCACTTCGTCTTTAAATAAACTAAGCACCTTCGTCGTTTAAAACAAACGGTGCACAAATCACTCTACTACAAGGCACAAGTCGACAATGTAACTTGTAGTTATTAAGAACAAATTAAAACATCATTCAAAAGTAAAAAGAAGTGAAAATTTAAGTAGGGAAAGGGAACATGTCGAGTCCCCAATACGATGAGAGGCACGTTTCTTTGAGTAAGTAAGGATTAGAAAGCTCGATTAATGATACTTAGAGGAGGATTCAGGTTGATTTAAGCATCAGTTACTAACAAAGGCAATTGACTCCAAATTATCACATAATTTGGGTTAAAAAATAAGAAAACATCAGACTAAATAAGGGGAAATGAGTGGTCTCTTAACACTTCGAAGTGGTATGCGGAAACAAATGCCTTGAATAACTGCGAAATCGCATAACAATTTGGAACCGGTGAATCACTCAGCGCTAAAGTGACATTTACTGACCGGCCTTGAATATTCCCGAATTGCATTTCGCTTACGAGTTTTCATACATACGTGAAACGCCACGGAAGAATGGATTAAATCACTAAGAAAATTCAACATCAAGTTGGTGGGCTTTTGGCTATTAGTGACAACATAAGTGTTTGAATGAATTATTAATTAGAGAAGGAAGTACGCAGTGACATGAACCAGGACAACACACACAGTTATGAGAAAAATAGAGCTACGAAACCATGACAAAACAGCCACTGAAATAAAGCGACAGTCCTTCCATATTCGTGAAAAGAGAGCACGAAAATTGAGGTTCCAATCGCTAACATGTGGAGAGTCAAAAATTAACTGAAAGGAATACAAACATCCAAAGGATGAATAACCCCTGGAGGTATTTTTTATAATTCTCTACAAAACTTGCTCTTAATACCACCGAAAGCAAGTGACCTCCGACTTACATCAATAATGAAGTGTAATGCTTTGGTTATTTGTTTAACTCGTTTATTCGGTTTCGAGGACACTTAAGCCGCTGCTCCTGACCATGCCAGTAGACCTCCAGCCCTTATGTACGGCAGCAATACATGTTCTGCCCCATTAGTGGCTTCTTTCGTCTTCAAGGAAGTCTTAAAGCGCTGTATTAGTGGCAGTGGAAAAGTGATCAGACCCTAAAAGCCAAATACCCTAATTTCTATTGCTGAATGCTAAACCCTAGCACGGCAGAAGAAAGGCATAGGCTGCGGATGGGAGAATCTGTCACGATCCCAAACAGAAAGGTTAAACATGGCGTCTATCTTCAGCATCTACTCCAGCCCTATGTCCTGCAGGAAAGCTATTAAAAGCTGGGATGACACTAGACGTGGCCGTGAACCAACTGGAAAACTTCGTTGCGGAGCTGCCTGCCGTACGTGATACCTCCTCTACCTCCCTACTACCTGGCTAGAATGTAGATAGATGTGTCTAGGCAACACTGAAGTGAGAATAAAGTGAAAAAGAAGCATAGACGCGAAACCTTATTTCCACAGAATTTAGACCTCGTTTTTTAGTATATGACTCAACTTTTAGACCGGTGTTTTACGACTAGCGATGGACACAGGAGATGACCTGCGCATCTCCTCTTCATCCCAACACAGTTCCCAAACAGGACAAAACTGCAGATTTAGTGGAACTGCCAAGAGAGATCAATGACGCTGCGATCAAATGTCTTGTCAGTTGAAGGCAACTTTGATGACTGTCGTGGTTGGTTAGTGGGCGATTTTCTTACAGCACCGGCTACGTTGTGATGGCCGAAGGGAGAGGTAAATCAAGGGCTCAAAAGAGAAGAGGAGGGATGTGTAACGCTTTGGTAATTAGTTTAACTCTTCATTTTTGTTTCACGGGCACTTGGGGTTCCGCCTTTGTGCATCCGCTGGGCGGTATAGCCCACAGACCATTTCGGTAGCCCCTCAGCCCAACCGTACATCGGGAATAGGTATTCTGCAAGGGAATCGCTTTCTTCCGTCTTCAGAGAAGTCTCTGGGCGCTACAGAAGCGACTCCTAAAAAACTACCAGTTACAAATGCCCACATGAAGATTTTTGAAATCTTTTAAGGAGACACTCACCGAAGATGCGATAAAAAGATATCTTTGATAAGCCTTTGAAATATTTGGCAATCATTATGATAAAAACCAAACATAATTCAGTGTTTAATTAAATACCATCCTAAATTCGATTTGTTAATATTAGACAGCAAAAAAACATCCGATTTTGTCTAAGAAAGCTGTTGATTACCCAAAACTGCACTGACATGGGTAATGGAGACTATCTGAACTACGTAACTGTGACAAAAAACCACATTCAAAGTCGCCAGCAATTGACATTACACGAAGGCACCAGCAAAATCAAAGCAAATGCCATTAAAATTTAGTGGAATGCAAAAGAATGATGTTTGAATTGCCAATTCCCAATAGACCTGAATCAATTTGCAAGGGCTATTACAAGTACCAAGGTCTTCGCCCGATAAAAGAACAACTAGAAATCTTAACAAAATAATGATTCGATAAATCCAAAATATTCTTCAAGAAGACGATGCTAAAATCTGGAGAAATGCGTAGAACAGTGGAACTACGTTAGGAACTGATAGAAACAAATTATAATGTTGGAATTTAAGCTAGAACAGATTACCATCTCAGAAGAAGGATCGTTGTTAAAAAGCGATCAGCAATGCCGATTAAGAATATTTTGGAAGACATTTCGTTGGTTTTGCCTTGTGATAGCAAAAAAGATAAGATTTAACCTCTTATTTACTTCCACAAAGGTAAATTAAAATGCTAATAAGGTAGAAATGAAAGGGTTTAGATTGAGGGGCAGAACAAACCTGGAGTGATACAGTGACTTTTTCACAGGGCTCATCAGGTCGTAACGTAGTCGTGCGCAACGGCGGTGCCGGGGGAGCAGCCTTTCTGCGGCCTAAAGAACCTGCACCACCAATCTCTGCTCCCACTACTGCAAAGTCCGCGTTGGCGTGCAGAGGAGGAGGTGGAAGCAATGAAGACGGGAAGACCTCGGAGAACCGGTTGCCTGGGACCATACAGCCCTGCTGACGACAGGGATAGGCGGAGAACTGTTGCTGTTGTTGGTGGAGGGCACTACCACTGCCACCACCACTATCAACTAGTCGTGAGACCGCATCCTGGACTGTGAAGGACTCTGCATGACCATGCCTGCCCATCTCGGCGGTTGGGGATACTGAAACGAGGAGGAGTTTGTGAATGTGGCCTCCAAATTAGGGTGGGCGTGAGGAATTCAAACGTATAACAACCATATGCAGTGCAAGGTGGAATCTTAAACTTTATTCGACCAAGTGCTAATGTAGCTCGTCGGCAGAGCGCTATCATCCAACGAACTTTCTGGCTAACTCTGTTTTTTCCTACTAAGGAGTTTGTTCAACGAACCTTCCTAACCCGACTACAGATTTGCGCCCGCCAAACTAAGAAGGCATAAGGGCGTTGGAATAATAAGAAGTGAAACTAGCGGCCTAAATAGTTTTTAAACCAATTATGCAGAGGAAAAATATGCATAATAATAATTCCGATTGAAGGCAGACGCTTGTCAAAGAAACAGTCACAACAGCTTCTCATAAATTTAAGAAATAGTAAAGTATCTGTAGTAATTGAGGACGTAGTCACAACTAGGACAAGATAGATCGCAGAATAGTGCCCACATAAATAAAGAGACAGAACCGTAAATCAATCTCGAGTTCCCGCCCAGTTACGATGTGAATTCTGCCGGAATGTCACTTCCTCACTACACCAAGAGTGGCTTCCCCTGTAATTATGTCAGTACATGAGGCTGAGATGAAAAGATTGCTACAAAGCGAAGGCTAAAATAGGCAAAGAAATAAATACACCTACGCGCAAATAATGTGGACACCCAACCATCGCTCCAATTCATTCTAAAGGATTTTCCCCGAATAATCCAGAGAAACACATCGTTCGTGGTTATGGGTCTGGCCTGACCTCCAGTGCATAATGCGGCACTATTTACCACTGAACTTGTGATCTGAAGGAAAAGGTTCCCAGATGAAAGTGGTCACAACAGAAAGTCGTTAAAGATAAGTTAAACAAACCAAAAAGGCATCGTGATAGAAGAGATGCGGTAAAATCCCCAAGTAACAGTTGAGCTCATGGTTTAAATAGGTGCAAATTACTGTAATTAAGCGGTGAAAGTAATGACCAGATATGGAAGAAGCTTGGCCAGGCGTCTATTATAGCATGTTCTGGAATCCGGTTTTCTTTTGCGTAAAAGATATTCATAAGTTTGCTAAGATAAAAGATCGACAGAAAATGAGCGAGTTCAAATACACTTTGTTTTATAAGTTGTGAAAGTCACTCTTAGAGGCAACTGCTTCATGCGAAGAGGCAGCGAAGTCTGGAGGGTGGCTGAATAGGGGATAATAACATCGTCAAAGATTTTTTTCACAGCTTACAATGAAGTAGTCTGGTAAATAGGATGGAGATTTTCAAGTTCAGATCCCGTGCAAGCAACACGTAATGGATCTTTTCTTAGCCCTGACGCCATTGATCGGTTTTCGTAACCATTTACTAACAAGCACTTTCAATATTAACCTCGAACTTACAGCTGGAAACCTCCAATTGAAGTAGATTTATCGCCTACCAGACAAAATTTTGGTAAATACCCCGTTTCGGCATCTCATTCACCTTGCCCAAACGCAGTGTAAAACACTTTTGACAGTTACAAAGAATACAATATTCATCACAGCAATGGAGCAAAACACATTGATATGACTCGCCGTACGCTATAGCAATAAAGAAGGGCAGGCTCCTAAGCGACCTATCTTCGGAAACCCGTCTGCTCAATTAGCGCGACACGAGTGTCCAAATACTCACTTTCTCGACTTTGCCCGTCGGCTTTAGAGGGTCAAATACTACTTCCAATACCTATGCAAATCAAAGTCTGGTCATAAGCCTCTACAACAACTTTGAAGTTGAGCTAGTTATGTAATACAGACTTGATTGCCAAATGGAAGAAAGTCTAGAGTCTTAAGTATGATCCAATAGCTAGATTAAAAAAATCCAACTGAAGTACACTGCTGGATACGTGTCGATGAGGAGGATAAATACATTCGAACAGTACCACTAAATGTATTTAAAAAGTCCTTTCTACTACTTAAAGCTAGTTACAGGCAAGCTCGGAGAGTGCTGAGAAGACACATGTACCAGGAATAGACTTTCATCCAAGACGGAACTCAGACACCACCCAATCTCAGATCAATTCATTCAGACAAGATTTGAAGAAAAGGTTGAAGAATCCACAAGTCTTTAGGTTTAAATTCAGTCATCAAGAGAGAAGATGGATGAGAACCTAGGATTGCTTCTATCTATGCAATTGTAGCTGCCGGTTAGTTCAGGTTTAACCCCTCATGATGGATAAAAGTGAGGAGTGACGACTCACGATTGCTCTCGTCTATACGATCGCAGCTGCTGCTTCGTCGTGGGGCGAAGGCAGCGACAGTTGTAGGAGGCGGAGGAGGCAGTGGAGGAGGCGGCATCCTAATGCGATGGCGTTGAAGCTCGTGTTCCACAGCCTCGCTGATGTCTGAGGAGGTGCGGATGGTTTCAAGACGCGTGTACACCTCCTTGAAGCTCGGTCTGTCCTCCGAGTTCCAACTCCAACCTGTTTAAAGGGAAGGAAGAAAAACGAAAAAAATTACAGATATTTTTGACTAAATTTTGACAATATTTAGTGGATGCAAGTTATGGTATCCGCCCAAGGTACTTACTTACGAAAGTAGTGATTTGAAAGGTAGGAAAGGAACGACCGGACGGCTGTTTACAACCGTGCCGTGACACTATCTTGTAAGATTCCGCAATGGGGTGACCATCTATAATTTTTATAGCCCAAATTCCACAAATGGCACACGGACGTGGGAGTGTGAACTTGCGCAAATGTATACACGGCATATTGTAGTCACCGAGGTGGCCAGTAAAATAGTTTTTGCCCATAGCGGTGTGAATCACTGTCTCATCACCTTGCGCCGGCCGTGAAAAGCGAAATTCACAAATAATGTGCATGAAGAAATGCAAGCAAAGGAGCAAAAATGCAAGATTGTATTTCGCACTGCTTCGAACCCTGACATTAGAAAAATACCCTCCGTTCAAAGTTCCCGTAAATTCACTCAAAAAAAAAGGAATTGGCTTGTCAAAGACAGCAACAAGCAGAGGTACCCACTAGACGGTAGAAGAGAAAAACCTACATATAGCTGGTGGTAGATATCAGCAATCGGTTCAAACTCCTTCACCGAAATAGTGAAGGATAGGTAACTTCGTAATTCTAACCACAATTTCAGACTAAAAAATCCCATTTTCAGTAAAATGCTTCTAGAGAAATGGTTAACAAATTTTTCCAACCGTTAAAGCAAAGTTCAACCTTATTGACAACGATTTCAGTCCAAAACGAAGACGCATGAAAAGCGCCAATCTGACACCAAAACTGTTCAAACCATGTGACTGCGCGAACTTACAATCAAGCATGAGTTGGTAGACAGCATCAGGACAGCCTTGAGGTGCTTCCATGCGAGTGCCCCTTTCGAGGAGAACATAGACATCCTGCAACTCCACACCGGGATACGGCGCGGCCCCGTAGGTCGCGATCTCCCACAGCAGCACGCCGAACGCCCAGACGTCAGACTTGATGGAGAAGCAGTTGTAGACAAGGCCCTCGGGTGCTGTCCATTTGATAGGAAACTTGGCGCCTTCCCGTGCCCGGTACGTCACGTCACGCTCCATGTAGCGCGCTAGCCCAAAGTCGGCGACCTTTACGGTCATCGCCTCGCCAACTAGGCAGTTGCGTGCCGCCAAGTCCCTGTAACAAAAAAACAGCGGCAGAGGTAGGATGGTATTTCATTTACCTGCTCGACTCTTCCTCACGCTTGTGATAGTGCTGCAGACCATTTGTTTTAACTGTACATTGAATCATGCATGGCCCTAAAACCCCGTAAAATTTGTTCGCAGTCTCGGTAACATGACGTCCATTCTGTCGCTTTCGTTAACAACTCACCAATCTCCCGTACACTTATAGGCAGAATTATAACGCTTATTGGCAACGATAACAGTGAATGGATGCAAAGCATTAGGTATCATAAAGATTACTGGTGACCCAATCCATCTCGATTTAGTATGGCGTAATTTATAAGGGTAATGTATTCAAATCGGCTCTGGCGAATGAGGAGAAACAAGTTGAGAACCAACGAAGATTGTCTGGCGGATGGAGAAGTTTAGGAGGAACGGTAGTGGAGGTTAACTACCAACATCGACAAGAGCAACCACAAGCAAATATGTTTTGTTGAGGATGCAACGGAAAAAGCAACCAGACTTTAAAGTCTTCTGTGGAACGATTTTCACGACGGTGTTATAAGGCTCTACTCATGCGATCCAGACCAGCACCTCCCCAACTCTTATGAATCGTAGTGGTAAAGTCAATTTTAAAATTCCATGATAGTTTGATCCCCATTCGATGGTAGCGTTAGCGATTCCATCGCGAAAGAATGAAGATCTCAACTCCACTTCACAAAAGCCTGGATAAATCTACAGGGACCATGTCACCCTTTTGACGAATACCTCTACATAGTGGTCAATAAGTAAGCTGGTCTAGATGCTAACGAATCAAAAATGGCCATAAAAGAACGGCTTTCAGCAAGAATTGGTAGTGCAAATGCATAATTAACCAAAGAAACACAAATGAGGAGTTAATAATAGTTAAAGTAGGCTGAATTAGAGCCTGATTCTAAAATCTGCTAAAGGCTTTGACATTTCCACCTTTCATCAGTTAAACTGAAAAAAAATATTAATTAACAGATCCGGCTTTACTAAAAATTTGCACTTAAGGAAGTATTTATATATTAGTTTCGAATCCCTATAAGTTGCGGAAAATAAAAGTCGGCACGACAAATGACTTTGAGGTTTCGTTAAATATTAAAAATAAACTAAAATGGAAAGAATGTTAAATCTAGGATGGCATGGATAAGAAGATTAACGGAGATGCACGATTTTATAAGGCCGATTTAAAGGTGGCTTAGAAACCATCTTTCAGATACAAGATGAATGTTTGAAACAATTTTGATAGTGTACAATTGGGAAATACGAAGCTAACGCCAACAGATTCACATAGAACAAGCGGCTCCACCTCTCCAAACACACAAATAAAGCTCCCTAAAAACGAGTACCAGCTATAATGCAAAAGGGAAGTGGTACAATAGCCACCGCAGACGTAAATCACAATGACGTAAAACAAGAAGTATGCAAATTTGCCTTCACAAATACACGGACAGGACGGGTAACAACAGTGCATGGAGAGTTTTGGCCTCACGAATTTCCTCTCGTCCGACCTAGCCTGTCAACAACGAAGAAAAAACGACAGTTGGCAGAAATGGAACAGCTCTGAAGGTGAGTAAAACTGCTGACATCGAGAGGAAGAAATGAAAGTGGGGGTAATTTCAAACAGCCGCTTCAACAGCAGCAGTGGCAGAATGTTTAATTTCGCAGAAGTGGGGAATGGAAGTAGGGTGAAAAAGTGGGCCTGTCCACAGTCCATGCGTGAATGGATGGATGATTGCGTCACAAACTAACGACCACTAGCACAGACTCGTTCTCCTCGACCTTCCACACAGAAGAGGAGAATCCCTCCGATTAGCATTAACCGAGTTGTTGTGGGAGATATTACATCTAGTGTGGAAACAAAAACACCAGCTACTTCCCAGCAGTGGGAACCTCAATTAATGTAGCCAAATTTTATTGTCATAAATTTAACCGGGGGAGTTCTCTCAATTGACATATTTCGATGTTCCTAAATAAACCGTTGCTGTTTATCTTGTAAACCGACAGACGTAGCCTTCGTTACTTGGACAGAATCGGTTTACTTTATTATTTGTGATTAGTGTCTGGGACTTCCTTTTCGTTAACCTAGAACCGGACTCTGTTGTAATTCGTAGAATAAATAGGGAACAACGGGCAGAAACTAATACCTTCATTAAAAGGTGATAGCATTATAACGTTAGCGCCGCTATTATCCTTTGAGCATTTCCAAAGTGTAATCGAACAAAGAAATAAACAATCCACCATTGTAGAAGGTAATTAGTGTCATAAAATCAACACAACCAATTTTGACTGGAGTTGTCATTCGGGTTCAGTGTTTACGGCCCCTGGGAGATAAAGCACAGAAAATAGATATGAACCAGTAAACTGCAAAGGGTATTCACGAAACAACCAATTTCCCCTCCTCCTTCTAATGCCCACAGAATTTCTTGTAAAAGTGCTCAGCAAAGTAATGGAGGCAAGAATATCGGAACCCATACAGACCCCATCCACTCATATTGAACCAATTGATTCTTTGCTCCTGATTCCATAGATTCATTTCCCCTTACAAACTGCAGTCATTGTAAATAAAAAATTTCAGCGGCATGAAAAAAGGTAGAAGTTGATTGTAATGCATATAACTTGTCACTACGCCAGCAATGCTAACATTAAAACCAAAAAGAAATGTTTCATTGTCACAGAGGGTAGCCACAGCCTAAAGTTGGTGTAATTATGCAACTAAAGTGGTGTTAGTGTTTGCAGTTCTTGAAAGGAATGCAGTGTGCAAGACATTGTGCATCAAACGGGAAAGAGCACCTGTTTCCCAAGCCTTGGTGACCAAGCATTGTTATCAGCGTATCTTCATCATTCCCAATAGTTTAAAACACTGAAAATCAGTATGACAGTTACCACTAAAGTAGCAATGGAGGGAAAAGCATTGTAAGTTGTGTAATATTCGGTAGTCAAATAAGATCAACCCACACAGATAGACCATCGATTCATCGAACTACTTTCTTTAGAAAAGTTGTCTCCTCACAGATGACCACTCCCATCATCAGTTCGGGTCATAAGAATAGCGGCTAACATTTGAAAACCAAAACTTATGCAGAAAGTAGCATTGCAGGACGAATGCATTATATGCCAGCAGTTCATGCTCTTAATTCACTGCAATCTCGGCACCCTCGTTTGTTACCTACAAAAAGCCAAAAATAACGACTAAAACACCAACTAGAAAGGTAGTTGGCTTTTCGGTTAGAAGTGGTCGAATAACTAACACATTAACACATCTACTATGGCGATCTCCAGAGAAAAACCCACCACCGCGGCCCAGATGCTTTCTTCTTCTAGTACTGGGCCAATTTAACTACCGGTCAAAAGGTATATGGAGTGCAGTTGTCCTCAGATCAAGAATATCGCACTTCCGCTTTGTCGTTTTGAACTCAACCAAGCTGCTGACGATACGATTCGGTGCAACCGGTCAACCATCATCAACCAATGAAGAGCACATCCCCAAGCCTTGGTGGTGTCGGGCTCAGATGAGAAATCGAGACGGTGCTTATAATGCAACGATGGCTGCCAAAGAAATATCCCTCTACAACAGAGGACGATTCTCATTAAAAAAATCTCTGGAATCTAAATTAAGTAATCTCCGAAGAGAATGCAGGAGTCCATGAAACAACCAGTTATGCTTAACGTTTGGAAATAGTGTAAAAACACGCCTAACGCAGATAAAAAAATTGGCATAATTGAAGCGAGGGCGGGATTAAAAATGGGGCCGCTGTTACCTTAAGGAGGCGCTAATAATTAATAACACAATTCCACGTAAATGGAGCAAATCATGGCGAGGAAATGCATAAACATTGAAAGATGGAGGCACAACATCAGAAAAAGCGGGAGGTGGCGAAAGTGCATAATACCATCCGCTTCCAGAAGAAAATTGATGACACCTCACACAAGACATAAAAGCGGTGGGCGGTGAATAAGGTGTCACATATGCCAGGGATGGGATACTACTCCTTAACAAGTGAAAATACAGAGTTTGTAAGCTTGAATTTTCACCGACTTGACATCTATTTAGCAAGCATGAAACTTTGATTAGGCGCTGTAAAAAGAACTAAGGGTGTTCTACAATTGATCATAATCCTACCCAATTCGCTCCCTATTACACTGGCCTTCCAGGTCTTCTGCTTGCTTATAATGAAAGCATTTCCACCATTTCTTCAAAGTCTTCAGAGAGCACAGGGAACATTTGTCACTTCTTATTAACAGAATGATGTCAGGACAGATGGTCCAAGGCTTCGCAGACGACCTGACGTACAGGTGGCAGTGGTTACAGATGAGAATTTACTTCACCCAGTTTTGATGGTATGCTTGCCCTTTTAGTTCCCTACGAGTTGGTTACCTTTGCCGCTAGTCAGCCAGCCCTTCTGTAATTTTCCAACACCCATTTCCAGTATACTAGAGGAGTTACATTGATTCTAAAAGAGCGTAATGCAACAAAGAAAAAATGCAGGCCCAAAAAGACCTAACAAGAGCGGATTTGCAGGATATTTACGATAGATCGGATCAGTGGTAAAAAAGGCGTTGTGTTTACAGCACAGGACAGTCCATGCCATTAACGCAAACGCACTGGCGTCCAATCAGTGAGCGATGAATCACTGGAAGTAATCCAGATTGAGCCAGTAAAAAACCGACCCTGAGAGTCTGACAGTAAAAGTACAGGCAGTGCTGACTCAACATGTGCACGACTCATGGAATGAGGCAGATAGGCGGCGAAAAAATACACAGCTCCAGTGGGTGGGTGGATGACCGTGAAGAAAAATTACGCTAAAGAAACGGAGAATAAGAAATAAAATTGGTGGCGACGAAGGGTTGGGAAAAAAGAAATTAAGAATAGCATTGAATAGCAATAGTAATTCTAAACGATAGCGTTAAATATGTGCATTAGCTTACACATACAACTTTTGTCGGAGTTGGAATTATAACAAAAGTGGGGGGAGGGGGTAGAAGAAAACAAGAAAGATTGCGACACACTGGTGGGAACTCATCCGGACAGGAAAAAAACCCACAACACCCCTTTTTTTACAAAAGCCTCCCAAATTGCGTGAAGCAAACGAGTACAAAATT